AGAGCGAAGTTATGCAGAATCGATTAACAAAAACGCTGATTGAATTTGCCACAAAATTGCGTTTTGCGATGCTGTGGGAGACAATGCAATAGTAACGGAAGCACCAGCAGCAGCAACAGTGGCAGGACCGGCAACGACAACAACAACAACAAACTCCAAACAATAACAATACGCCAATTTCCTTTTGGCTTTTTGTGTAAAGGGAAATAAGCAATTTCGGCAAATAAATCGTAAAAAGTAAAAGTAATAAAATCAAGAAAATGAGAAAAGAAACAACACACACACACATGAGCACACACACACACACACACACACACACATACATATATGTATGTGGTGTATAAGCGAGAACACACTCGCAATATGATTCTCATTTCGGTAAGATGAGCCAAGCAAAACAAAAAAAAAAACAACAAAAAAGTATGTGTAAGACAAGCCAAAAGCCTTATTTGAAAAGCCAATTTTTTATTGCCCTTGCCAAAGTAGAGTTTAATGTACGCACACATCGATATATAACAATAAATTGAACTTTATGAATATTCAATTCAGATTCAACGAGGAGTTGCTTCGAGCTGTTGGTTAATTTTGAAAATAATGTTTTCGTCTTTTTGCGACATTTATCCTGCCATAGTTAAACAAACCAATGAAGAGTATAATAAATATTGCTATCAGAAGCAGACAATCGTTGAGGGCGAACAAAAATAATGTAACAGAGATAGCAGTTAATGAGTACAAAGTGCAAAGTCCTTACAGTGGAATGAAAATGGCAATAAAATAAGAGCAAAATAACAACAACACAAAATCCAACTTTTAATTGAAAACTACAGTTAGTTAAGCAAAGCTTTTAAAGAATGACTTTTGTTTGTCATTTTAAAAATGTGAATGCACAAATAATTAGTCTTTCAGAGTCTATTATCAACTATGAATAAATCACAATAAATCAATTTCTGAATAAATAAATAAAAGCATTTTTTGTACAAATGTACTAATGCACAAAATAAAATCAATTTGAAATTGATTTAAAAAGCTTTTTGAAGTTAAGAATACAAATTTGGTTAAGAGCCAACAGCTAACCAGTGTGGGACCAATTTTCAATCCTTTTTGCTATAAAGCGCTTTCACGAAATGGCAAACGAAATCATTTAGAATCAGCGCTTTTCCATCCACGTGTACATATACATATATATACATATGTATGTACATTATGCCAGCTCTCACATAAAAACAAAACCCCTATTTATGCCACAAAGAATCTCACCAATCTCTTTGCAACCCCCTCAGACACATACATATAGATATATATATATATGTGGAAAGAAACTGCGGCTGTGTTGAATATAGTTTCGTCCATTCGAAGGAAATGAGCAAGACATTGAGTCACCTCGTGGCGGCAACTGTATGACTGTGTGTGGGGGGGCAGTGAGTTTTGTCCCGAGCTTAGGTGTGGGCAAAAGCAATCAAAATACACATACACAGAGAAACAAAGACAAAGATAAACAGAGGCAGACAAACAAAATATTGACTTTGCTGGCCGCACAAGCAAGAAGACGAGCGAAAAAAAAGCAGCAGCGGGAGCAGGTGTACATATCAGTATATATATTTATATATATATATAAATATATATATGAACTTGGACTTTTATGAGTGCTTCAAATGTGTGCAACAATAAATTAAATCAAAACAGTTAAATTTGACCTTGGCCAGGACAGCCAGGCGCCGTCGATGGTCACAGCGAGCTCAATTTGAATGACATAAATGGGAGATGCCATTTGGGGGCCACTACATGATAAAAACGACAAAAAAAAAATAAATAAAAAAAATGGAACAGTGAGGGCCATGAACCTTGCGGCTGTGAGTGTGTGTGGCACTGTCGAGGGGCAACGTTTGTAGCGCCCCGCTCCCCGTCATTTGGTCGTGTGCATCTGAGCAAATAAGCATAACGAAGCTGAGTAGAAAGGCATTATCCTTGGGGATGGAACTGCTTCAGCTGGCTGACTCGTTGCACAAATACGCGCACGCCATGTGAGTCGCAACGGAAGCACTTTATTATGCCGCCAAATTGAAATAATATGCACATGAACAACAAACAGTAAACAACAACAAGAACAACAAGAGACTGAGGATGGCAAAACAATTTAGACCAGGATGCAGTGCGTCCATTGTGCAACATGGAGGTCAACGCCACTGCCCCTAACCCCGCGACATCACACGTGTCGCTGTTGCTGATTGTTTTTGTTGTTTCTTTTTTTCCCCTCTGCACCTTGTTTGACTTTTGTTTTTTTGCGAAACAGCATGAAATGAGCCCCGGCACCGGGTGGCAAGCTACATCATTAACATTATGTAAGCAGCAACCGGCGACGACACTGACAGCAGTAGCAGCAGCTAGGCAGGAAGGCATTCAGATAGCCAGAAGGCAGCAAACAGCGACCCCAAATCCCGAGGCAGGAACCCGTGTACCTAAAGCATATGTATGTGCGTGTGTGTGTGTGTGTGTATGTGTGTGTAGAATAGGTAACCTCTGAAGTTGTAATTTATGCTCAGGTAAAATGGTGCACAAAAAGCAGGAAGCTTCTCACGTAACTGCGCAAACTATACAAATGTATGCGATTGTGTGTGTTTGAGTGTGCAAGTGTGTGTGGCTTTATGAGTATCGCTAGTTAGCCTATGCACCGTTACAAATCGGGGGGTTATATGTTCACACATCATACACAATACATTATTCATTGCAAATCTGATATTTATCTTACTTTATTATGCATTCAAATAAAAGGCGATAATGAAATAAAATGGCTTATTTGAGAAAGAGAATTACGATATTTTATGTTCAAGATTAAATGGGATAGTAACAACAACAAAAAAAGTAAGCTTTCTGTCGTGCTTTAAGTGAATGAAATATATTTTTAAAAATGTTTCTTAAGTATAGCATACTCTTTGGGGCATGCAGACACAATTCTGATATTAAAGCATTAATTGTAAAATAAAAGAACAAAGCTTTGATTCAAGAAACTAATCATCGTTTAATTATACTCATAACTCTTGTGAAGCTCAAACTTATATCTTATAGCACTATTTTCTGCTCAACATTTTTATTCTGCTTTGCAAACCCGTCCAGAGTATGGAATAAAAATCAGTTTAATGACGTATGCAAAATGTTAAACTCATAAAAAAGAAGACGGCAAATTTCAGTTTCCTTTAACGATTTCTGCTTGATTTTTCAACTTTGCTTCCCCAAAGCCATGCAGCATCAGAAGAAGATATTAAATATACGAGAGAGTCGCCATAAACGCTTGAAAATGTTTTCTTTACGATTATCTTTAATCTGACAACAAAGAAATCAGTTGGTTGGTTGCATATTTTCCTTGTCCACTCAATCTCCTTTGCACATGATATCTATTCACTTGTATACGTATATATATAAATATGGAAATAAAAAAAAAAAAAATATATATATATATATATTCAGTGAGCAGTTGCCTGGCAACGCAGCGCAGCAAAAACTTTTGACCAAACTGCATCAGGCAAACTTCGTATAAAGTCTATAAAATGTAATGACTCGCGCTACACGCGCGCCTTGAAATATGCAACAAAAAGTTTTTGTGACTTTGACGATGACTACGAGAAGAAGCAGAGTGGCAGAATACGCAAGACTACAGATATGCCGCATAAGCTACGTACCCATAATTTGCATAAAATTAAGTTACAATTAGGCACAAAGTGAAAACTTGTGTTTGTGCGTATGCATTTCCCGGACAGTTTGCCGCTTATAGCTTAAATAACAGCACTTGAAATTTGCTAACAAGCCTGTGGCATCAGAAGTGGGGGTGGTGTAGCTATTGCAACAAAATGTCAAATCACAAACATAGTTTGAATTTGAGGCATATGCAAATGAAATTTGCATGCAATGTCGCGTCAGCACTGAGTGTGTGTGTGTGTGTGTGTGTGTGTGGGTGGTTTTCTGTGTATGCAAGTGTGAGTGAGTGAAATTCAATTCGCTGACAAAATGGCAGCTATTTATATTTGTCGCTGTCTGAGTCTGGGTCTGGGTCTGTGCTTGGCACTTGTCATGCTGATGTACAGATTAGGAATTAATCGAATTTTACTGTCAAATCGAAGGCAATAGTAGCAGCAGCAGAGGAAAAGGAAGTGGCAAGCGTCGCCGTTGGCATGGCAATGCAAAACATTCAGCACATGCCAATACACACATACACACACATACGCATTATGAGAGAGAGAGAGAGAGAAAGAGGGATAGCTACATGACTACACCTACGCATACAATGGCAGACAGAGCGACGCACAGACATACACATACACTCACACACACACAAACATCCACACGCATACAGAAACAGACAGACACTGACACTGTATGTTACGCAGTTGTCGGCATTGCGCTACGCTAAAAATACCGTAAGATTGCCTTAATTACTGATAAGCTTATATAAATTTTAGTTTGCCGCTCCTTTTCTTGCCATTTCTCTCACCTGTTCCACAGTTGTCGACATTTTGGCTTTGTTGCTTATGTTTATTGCGTTATGCTTTCTTATTTTCCGTTTTCTTAACCACTGTGCTCACAACGTTGTTGTTTGTTGTTGTTGCTACTCCTTCCTATACACTATATTGCACGGCACATTTTGTTTGTTGTGTTGTTATTGTGGCGATGTTGTTTCTCACGTAAAATATATATATTTTATTTTGCACTTGTTAGTAGTTTATTTCAATGGACACTTGGAGAGAATGCGTATTTTGTCGCGACGTGAGCAGTTGAATGCTCCTGCTGCTGCTTGCGACGGGGTTGTGCTGCTAAAATCAACTAAAAGTATTTTTTACCAGACAGGATTTTATCCTGCAGTAATGTGAATTTCGTCCTGCTAAGTGGAGGAGTTCTCTCTGTTAAGCGATGAAAGCAGTGCGCATTTTGCGCTTACGTTGCTCACATTGCGCTTACGTCACTTTGCGTTGCCTACGGTTATCGAGCTTGTAACGGAAGACTTTTGGGGATTTTTTTTGCATTAGTTTTAATTTTTAGAATTCTGGGTTTTTCTATACAATGAAAATATATAATAACAAAAATAGAAAATATAAAAATTCTTCATTTTGGATGCAACATAAATTCATTTTTCTTTTACTATTCTTTACTTTACAGCTGGTGGCTCATCTTCGCCCAAGAATTGATGTAGATAGTCCAGCCAATCCTGAACATCCTCGAAGCGCATAACTGCCAGTAAAAGACGACGGAGATAGCGCAGCTGGCGAAGATCGACGCCATAGCACTCGGCCATTCTGCTGACATTTATGCGAGCCACGGGCAGATTCACTTTGGGCCTGGCCAGACAGACTTTTACGTTCATCAGCTGCTTCCAGCTGGGCGCCTCCTTTTGCATCTCATCGAGCATAAATATTTTACCCACATCGCCGGTGACCACGCCCACGGGCGTGGCTAGCGGACTGTTTGTTCTAGTCTGTAGCTGCTGAACGGGCGTTTTGGTTTTAATGTAAGCCCAACATGCTTGCAGGTTAAACCACAGACAATAATCCTGTAGAGCCTTGAGCATTATCTTGAAGTAGTCCTCACGCGACAACTGCTCATTGTCAGCCGGATCGATTTCACTGCGCGGTTTGTACTTGGACCAACGCTTTGCTTTGTGCTCCTCGCACACCTTTTCCGGGCTAAACTTAGCATTGGAACAGTAGAATAGCTGCAGAAACTGATCGGCAAACTCGAAACGCACATAGGGCTGGCTCAATTGTGGAATGGTCTTGATATAGGTGTTAACTTCGGCGGGATTTTCCATTTTAAATATCTTAAAGAACTCTCCAATGAGACGACGTGTTTGCTCACCCAAACTGGGATAAATCACAAAACTATCTACGTACTGCAGCTCAGCGGTATTACTAGCCTCCATGATAAGCGATATATAGCGCTAAAATAAATGACATTAGTAACATAGTAAATAGAGTAGGGTTATTCTACTCTCTACCTCCAATATGCGTAGACGACTTGGATACATTGATTTGGATGCTGCACGGCTGTAAAGACGCAGTAACTGTCGCGTTATGTTCGTGAGACGCGTTTTGGGCGTCATGCCGAAAACGATGAGCACAAAGGGCTTCGTTTCCTCCTGGAATATCTCAGGTTCTGCTTGCTGCAGACGATTGTGATCCAGCCATGCCAGAAACTGACGCTCCAGCACCCAGCAAATCATGTCCAGAGCATTGCAAACACGGGCTAGCCGCACTGATGGTGACATCTTCTTAAAATCATTCACCCACGGTTTGCCGCTGTGCCAGTCGTAGTCCTGCACATGACGCAGAAACACTTCCTCCTCCTTCCCCTTCTCCTCCTCGGCAAAATCGAATAGATACTCTTCACTGAACTTCGTGTACTCACGTAGCTCAGTGTCGCTGCACTTGGCCAAACAATCTTCCAGCAAATCCAGGAGTAACTGCAGCTTTTGAGGCTTCTCCTCGGTAGCATTGTTGACGCCCAGGAAATTTAAGTAGTACGGACGCAATGCTGTCCAGCAGGGTGGAAATGCGTCGACTAATAGATAAAAGGTGCGTATCACATTTATGTATCTATCAAATAATTCGGCCATCGTCAAGCACTTGGACGTAAGGACCTATTAAGGCATATTAGTATTAAATAACCATTATTTATTTAACACGCTCACCATAACCATATCGAAAAGTCGATCGAAAACTGCCTCATCGGGAAAAACAGATTGCATCGCCATTATTTCAAGCATATCCAGAAATGTATCGTAGTTCTGATTGTACAGATTGTTACGCAGGTCCTGGGCAACGCTAATGGTGGGTGCATCTGGGAGCATGGCACACCGATGTTTGCTGACGCACTGGCTCGTATTGTGCAGGCATCTAGGCACCCGGGCAGCCGGCAGGCGACGCTCGCTTTGCATGTACAAATTCGAGATTATTGCTCGCAGATTCCATTTTAAGTTTAGCCTGTTTTTCGGTTCGGCTTTCGAGCGATTTATCGGTGCAATTTCTGTGGAGATGTCGTCCTCGGCATTCGTATCCTCCTTTACTGCAGCGTCTTCGGAGCCGGATTCATTCATTTCACTGTCGGCATCGTATTGTGCTTCATGCTTTACAGTCGTTTTTGTTGTTTGGCTATCCGTTTCCATGGCAGCTGCATCGACTATGCTGTTAGCTCTTTCGGCTGAGATTTCATTTGTTGTCGTTTTATTTACATCTTCGCTTTGGTTTGTCAGCAACATTTCAATTATTTTTTACAATATTTTGTTTATGATAGTGCATTAATTCGATAAATTTGACATTGACTTATCGATAGTTTATAAACGAGTAACAGCTGGGGTGGCAGTGTGCGAAAACGCTTATTGCATATCGATTACAGTTGGCGCGCAGTTTAAGCCCAACATTTGATAGTCGCTAAATCCCAATGTCAGCAATTAAAAATAAAATGAAAATATAATAAAAGTAAGACGTGGCCGACATGCCCGCGACTAAAGCTAAATATTTGCATATATTACATGCAAATTAAACATATAAGCCAATGTACGATTTCAGCATGTCGGGTCAAAGAGTTGAGTTGCACGACAAGCATGCGCCCACCAAAAAAAAAGGCAACCAATTTTTTTAATTTAAATATAGCAATTAGGCTGATTTATGCAGCCCGTTAGCAAGTCATATTAATTGCCCCTAACCAACAAGTGCCCCACAGTCCAATGGAGCCTGAGAATTGTGGCGCCGCAAAGGCACACAAACGAATAAGCTGGCTGCGTATGCAAATCTTGGACAAACGCGCAAAAAACCAAAGTCGAGCATGTGAAAACTGCAATTTCCACAAAAAAATAAACGACGCCAAACTGTTGCATGCAGTCAATGCAATTAGCAATGCCTTTTAGCTGTCCTCAGTTATTTGGTATTTAAAGACAGCTGTACCCAAAATCGAACAGCCCCCGCAATCGTTATTAACTCGAATATCTGCTATTTGCTTTTCCTACTTTTTTTTGTTTTCAAATGTCAATTAACATTAGCTTTTGGCGCAGTTTAATCAAGCCAATTATTTGATCTTGGCTCTAACGGTATATACTTAAAAGTAAACTTGTTAATTGGTTGTCTATTAACAATCTATTTGGCTACCGTATTGTTAATTATAGTTGTATAGTTAAATGCATTATTTTTAATATATATATTAAGGCCATTTTTTCCATTCATATTCCACGATGACTACTCAGACTATTATTTTCTTTTTACAACTTGCATGCAAATGTAACCTCCAACTGCGCATAATTAAGTTATTTAACATTTAATCCGATTGGCGTTTATTAACAAATCATGTGGGCGGTGAATCAGTTGTGGGCGTGTTCTTTATAAGTTTATTACGCATGCGCGTTGCATTTTTTTGGAGGTGCAGCACTTTGAGATTCTTAGATAATTGACGACATTTCTGGGGCAAACTAGGCAATAAAACTGTTCTATGTAAAACCATTGGTAGCTCAAAATTAATAAAATGCTTATCATTCCGCTAATCTTGTTAGTTTTAATAACTTTACTACGAGTGATTAGTCAGGTGATCGACTAAACGATACACTATTTGAAATACAAGGTTACCAATAGGAATTGCGTTGGAGAATTGTCAATAAAAATATCTGTGGGATTTGTAAGACAAAATAGTGTGTTTAAAACACAAGGCATATTTGTTTTGCAAGCAAAGCATACTCTTTTCCTAGTGCCTTAAATAATATGCTTGTGTTTGCTGCCAACTAAAATATCAATTAATAATTAATTAAAAATACAAAAGTATGAACAACAACTAGATATTTATATCTAAGCACATGGTAAATGCACCTACCCCAGAATTAGATAAATGCGATACCTAATCATAATTGCGCCAAGCTAAGCATTTCTCGCACTTACTTATACAACCGGTAGCTTTTTGTGCCCATCGATGATTGGCAATTAAAATTGCATTTGCTGCATAGATTATCAGATGTATACGTGCACGACGCTTGTATGTATATATGTACATATAGTGACCCATATTCGTATCGATCATTGAGCTGCCAGCCGGTTATTGTTGTTGCTTTATGTCAAATGTTGGTCAGTGGTGCGATTGTCAGATAACCAGTGGCTGACTGGATGGCTTGCAGACTGGCTGGCTGGCAGACAGACTCGCCAAATGGCTACCGGTTCGCTAAAGGTGGTTAATAGTAAGTTAGTAACTTGCTCTAATTTTACACTTTGGCGTCTTCTGCGGCAAGTTCGTTCGCTGTTCAAGTCATTCGTTTTGCCTATCAGGCAAATTAGTCAAAAAATACTTGCAATTATATAAAATCGAGTTTTATTGAGCTATATATATATATATATATATATAAATATGTACATATATTAGGTACACCACATCTAAGTGCCAAGTGGGCGTTTGCATGTTTGCCTTTCACTTTCTAGCACTAAGCTCTGACCAGCTGCCAGGATGTTATTATACAATAGCTTGTATACATGAAAAAAAAACACACTAATCTTTTATTTTTATGTTTTTTTTTCTTTTTAGCACGTAATTAACTGAGCGACTTAAGCGGCTAACTGTGAACCGATCAAACAACTGCAAACAATGTTGACTTTGTCGTTGTTATTTCTGTTGTGGTTTCAATTGAGACATTATTCAATTTGTGACAATCGCGAGAAAATTTAACGGCCAAGCCGTACGGCAAAAGCGAAAAAAAAAATACAACTCGAAATCGACAACAATTAAATACATTTTGGCGATTTCCCAGAGCGATGTTCTAATTTTGGACAAAATACTCGCACAGGCAACAAAAGCAGCAAGAAAAACAATAGCGCCGACAAACATTTTGTTACCGATCTGCTCAACATTTAATGAGCACCAAAATTGTAAATTTAATTTATAACGTTTGCTGCACTTTTTGTCAGACGACAAAATTTCGTAATGTTGCTTGAAAAAATGCATTTGGTGTTGTTATAGTTGTTGTTACTTTTGTAGTTACGTGTAAACTGTGCCGACTTAGCGTGCAATATTTGGAGTCGCCGCCTGTTCGACTTGCATGTCAAAGGTGCATAAGAATCGAATCCAAGTGAAACGAATCCAAATGAAAAGATTTTACCTCGATTTTCTGTTTCTGTTTCTATTTCGGTTTCGGTTCGTGTTGATTTAATTGGCACCTCAACATCAGCTGTGTGTCTGTGTGTGTGTGTGTGTGTGTGTATGTAGGTGCACTTGATAGTGAATGCTACATTGCGTTGAAATTTATGTGCCACGCATGCCACGCAATGCACAAAGCATTGTCAAATATCAAATACGCGCATTGGTTTTCGCACATTGTAACACGGTTGGCCAAAATGCTTCTAGCCAGCTGACAGCTTGGCCGACAGCCATGATATCGATATGAAGCATTGTCACGCAAAAAAATATGACATGAGTTACACATGTTGCATGGCTACAAAAATTTAACATTCTGTTGCATTAGTTATGCAAACAAGCAATTTATCTTTGTGGTTTTATATTTATTTTAATACAAAATGAATGCGAGCTTTGACAAAGTATGGCAATAGACATTTTAAGATGCCATCATGCGGATTAATTTTGCCCGAATTTTGCATTTTTTTTTTTGACAAAGTCATAAATAAAGACATTTTGACATAAATTTATCTCACATTAATACAACTATAAGTCTTTTTGCCTTATTTATATATTTTAGCATTTTTTATTGTAAATATAGAACACTTTCGACATAACAAGTCGTTAATGGAACCGCTTTTACTTGGACTCGCATTTCAATTTCATTACAAGTGTGCAAGTGTCTGGTATGTGTGTATGTAAGTATATATATATAGATGTATGTGTGTGTGTGTACTTGTCTCTAGTTGTTGTTTGAAACTGTTGCAATCACTGGAGCTGACCAGACAGACGACTCGAAATGAAAACGAAATCAAAGCGAGACAAACGAGAGCAGCGCCGCTGGCTGTAGTGAAAAAAGGAAAAAATAAAATAAACTGTGGAGACCGCATCGAGATGAGGGAACTGCAATCTGGACAACAACTGGGCAACTCTGCAAGATGTGAGGCTGTGAGATAGTAGGCTGAGTGTGTGCGACTGGAACGATGTTTGGCTTACATAATCGCAAAAATAGAAACAGAGCACAGCATGGATTGCTTTGAGCATTATATGCAATTTATTGCAATAAAGAAATCGGTGAACAGATTTGCACCCTCTCCCCTCGTACTGTTTACCACCCAGGTGTCTAGCGGGTATTTAGGCTAACTGTCTGTGTGTTTGTTTGGTCAGCAACATGATTTTTTGGCATGTGGCTTAGATTTGCTTTTAATAGTCTTTGACTGCGATGTTTGTCCCTCATTCCAGTTGTCGACGGACAACAGCAACTGCAATGACAACGATTTGCATTGCAACATGTATCAAGCCAGCAGTAAATCCAACAGCAATGGCAACAGCAACAAGATAAATCATAATGCAATGGCACATTTAGCTCATTCGGTTGCGTGCCGCTAAAGGGCAAAACGAAAAACTTAGGCAACGAACTGAGACATGACTTTCTGCCTGGTTGCTTGCAGGTTTGCGTCTTAATTACGAGTGCGAAATGACGTTAATAGCCTCGACGAAAAAAACCAACGAATTGCGATTCTTGATGCTGCTATAGCAGCATATTTGTGTAATGGGTAATTAAGCGAATCGTCCGAACAAGCATCAACAAGTTTTTCCCACGATGGCGTTGTCCGCCCGGCTGCCTGAATGTCTCCATGTCTGTCTGCCTGTCTTGGCTACTGTCTGCGCGCTTTAAAGCCCAAACAAACTGCTGCCAAGTACGAGAGGCCAATGATATATGCATTTTTCATGCCACAGCAACAGCGGCAGCAACAGTGCAACAAGAGTGCAACAACAACAAAAATAATACGCCATCGCTTATAAATTAGAAGTAGTCAAAATAATAGCCATATTTTTCTCTGGCGGAACCCTCACACAAAAAAGGTCAAAGCTACAACAGCCGGCCAAAAATTGCAGCTGCATTTTGGCTGGTTGTATTTTTTTTTTGTTGCCATTTTTATCAAGGCACGAACTGTTTAATCTTTGAGCAGGTATTATAAGCATCGGCTGCAGTCGGTTGCTAATCAGCTGAACGCACTTAAAGCGATTTCCATGTTTTTTTTTTTTGGTGGATAGATTGATGAGCGGGTGGCGAGTGTAGGTTGCAAGTTTACATTGGTGTATTTGCGAACAGATGTACTCAAGATGATGCTGCACAAATTGGTCAACAATGAATGGTTTTAATTATAATCAGCAAACTACGGCAAATGTGTAAGCAATAAACAGTGGCTAAGTCTTGCACATTTATTACAATGCTCATTGCTTCATCTTAACTGTCACAAAAAGAAATACTTCCAAACCTTTGAAAAATAAAATTAAGAAATAAAATATATGGTTTTTTTTATTGCCATAAGCCTTTTTCTGATATTTTATTATAGCTAAAATTGTCATAAAATATTAGTTGTGAGAAATCGTAGCAGACATTTTATTATTATTAATTACACAAATTATTTTCATAAAAAAATAAAGTAACAATTTTCAAAGTTGTATATCAAAGCATCAATAAATTTGGCTTTTAGGAAATGTGCAATCTGGCAAATGGAGCTCACATCAGACGCCGGACATTGGGCTTTGGGCATCGGGCGACCGCATCACTGTCGCTCTTGGCCAGTTCCACTTCGATTGCGGTGTCCATTGAGGCGCATAATTTGTGCGGAAATATGCAAAATGATTGTTTGTGGCAGTGCCCGCAAACCTTTTCCCCAGTAGCTGGGGCATATATAAATAAGTGAGAAGTGCCACATTTCACGCTTAGTATTCCGGCAAATGCGAAACGCTAGCGAGGATTAAAGATAGCTCAAAGCCAAAGCGCTGTTGAGGCAGGCGCAAAATATAAGCAAATAAAAAACAAATTGAATTTCAAATTCAATCAACACCAAGCTAAAAGCAATGATGACAACAACAACAACAAAAGCAACGGCAACAACAACATTTGCAACTTGTTGTTTGTGTTTCCGCGTTACGTTCGAAGTGGCACGCGTTGAGTGGCATCTCTTGCTACTCACGCTGTCAATCTTCTCCACATTGACGCACTGCTCGGCCGTTGGATATTCGTATACACGCTTCGAGGGACCGGTGGTGGGGCCAGAGCGTCTGGTTACTGTGCCCAATGCTTATGGCGGTGGCACGCACTCCGATTATGTGGCACGGCCCGAATATAGCTTCGCCTATGGCATAGAAGATGGACAGGCGCGCGTGCTGCAGAATCGCAAAGAGACACGCAAGGGGGACGAGGTGCGCGGCGTCTACAGGTGAGTGGTGCAGTTGTGCAGCTGCCATTCTGCCACTCACACATTCATTAACAACGTCAACACGCAGCGTAGTCGATCCTGATGGCACCTTGCGCGTTGTCAAATATACTGCAGATGATGCCAATGGCTTTCAGGCCGAGGTGATCACGAATGGCGTTGCCAGACTCCATGGCCATGGCAGTGATGATGATGGTGGCGGTGGTGTCGCCAATGTGGAGCAGCAGGTGCAGCACGATCAGGCCAACGAAGTGGGTCACGAGACTGATGAAGATGAGGATGAGAATGAGCATGCTGCTCAGCAGGAGGAGGATGACTACGATGATGATGAGAACGCTGCACCACAAAAGCCCAACGGCCAGTATAAGGTGCATGAGGACCAAGACGAAGGCGCTGGTGAGGACGAGGGTGAAAGTGATGGAGGAGGTGAGCAGGAGGTCGGCGGCGATCATGAGGAATATGAGGGCAGCAGCGAGGAGGGCTATGAGGATGCCAAAACGCATAGTCAGCAGCGAGAGGAAGATAATGAGGATAGTGAAGAGTATTAGTACCGATAAAATATCACAATAATTTATGAGGACTATCAAAATTTAACATATAATTTAAATGTGGCTCAAAAGGTGGAAACCTTCTATTTAAAGCAAATAGAATTTGCTTATAGATCCAATCATCAAATTTCCTAAAATATATATAGAAATGTTTGCAAATTAGAATAAACTACGATGTCGAAGAGTTCTCCTATTCTATGTCATAAGCCAAAAACATACCATACAAAAATTTGTACAACTTTTTTCTCACCAAAAAAAGAATGTTTAAGAAATATAAATAGTAATTAATTTTAATATTGGTGTGTTATAGAAAAACAGTTTGTTTATATAAGCTGAAAATATACACTCACAAAACAGAAACAAAAACAAACACGTTCAAGCAAAAGCTAATTGAAATATCTATCTATTGATTTTGCGGTGTTGTATGCTGGGAATGGTTTTGCGTAATCCAACTGGCTGGAGCTGGTCGTAGTCGCTATCGAAGCGTGTGCGTTTTACCATTGCGTTCGATCGGAATCAATCAGGCGCAGCAATTGGCAATTGCCTCAACCAGGCAGCGCCGACTTTGCTGGAAAGTGGCACACAACTGAAAACTGAAAAACTGAAAAATGAAAAACTGAAATCGGTTTCGGGCTTTTTCTGTGTGCTGGCTGCTCCACTTGGGGCAGACTGGTCGACTGACAACAGGCTGGCAGCCGAGTCAATTTCGTCACTCGCTTAATTCATACGCACAAATGCGCAAAATTGCATTAAATGTGCGAATATAAAAACGAGAACGGGGATAGATGGTGAGGGGACGGGGAGTGCTGCAATGCACACAACAAACCGCAAATCGAAATGAGATCAAACAAGTTCGGGTCTGAGACGATGCGGTAATGATTCCGAAATGGCACCAACCACCGAAACTGACCGAACTTAGAGGCGCCACAAAGTTGGAGGAGAGCAGCGTGACCAAATGCAGTTAGTAATCTCACAATTGAGTTGGCGACACAATTGGGCTGGCAGCTCTTTGGCATTTGGCTGGACTTCGTGTGCCTAATTGACAACCGATTTATACTTTGTATAGTTACTCGTATCTCCTCCAACCTATCAATCTCTCACTAATAACATCCCCAGAGTTGCTGCATTGCGGCAACTTTGTGAAGATTTATGGCGTGCCGCTTAGAATGACAGAAGAGGCTCCAAAACTGGACGGCATGCGTCTGGCCAAACGTGCAAAAATGCCGACGAAAATGTTTTAATTAGCCACAATTGCAACCAAATAGTCACAGACAACATAACTCTTTATGCAAGCGGCGGGCTATATCAAATATCTATATATTATTAAAGGATTTTATAATAATCTAAGACCAGTAGCAGCATGGGGTCGCAGATGCTTCCATCACTTCCACTCTTTACCCATTTTCAATGGGTAACGTTGCGAGTGTGTAAATTGTTTACTGTGGTTTGTATTACAATTTGGGAAATGAAATGTATACTTGCTTCCCAGAGGAAGCGTGAAGTATGTGCATCAAATGGGAAGCAAAGTGTTGAACAGCAGAGGAGCAGCTCTTGTTAGCCGGAAATGACACATTACGCATACGCAGTGTACTGCAACGATTTACAATTGATTCGTTTTGGGCTTAAGTTACATTTGTGCAGGCGACTTTGATTGCCTTTCTAAAAGTGACCATTTGTGGGAGCATAAATCAATGTCAATGCGCAACTGACAAGTCATTAAAAGCAAAGCAAAGTGCGTTTAAATGTTCAAGTGAACCGCCAGCAGAGTTGAAAATAAACCATTGTCCAAATATTTGCATGCAGCCCATAAATCAAGATTAAAACTCTGTTCTACTTATCGAGCGACGGGCAAAGCTAACCGATTGTGATTCGTTGACGATTGAGGCACTGATTTTCAAATATGCAATGTGCGAATCCAGTTTGATGCATGGCGTGGCTGCATTTTTGTGGCATGCGTCGAGAGTCGAAACAAGTGCCTTTGAGCACAAGCAATTAACGCATTCGTCGATGTCGCCCCCACAAATAATAAGACTTTATTGCAATGACGCTCAAACTGTGGCGCATTTGTTGCGCAATCGTTTGAGCAAAGACAAAGCTGACCAGCTAACCAAATAAACGGCAAAGGCAAAGGGGGCCCATTTCCCCCGCCACTCCCCCCATGCACAAGCTCGTCTCTCAAATCGGCCAAAGTGCGATCGCGATCGTGACGCGGCCAACTTGTTTGCCAACCTCGAGCCTGCAATTGTTGCTTTTGTTGTTGTTATTTTCTGTGGCAAATGTTTGCATTTTCTTTGTATAGTTTTTTTTTGTTGTTTTTTTGGTGTGCCGTGTAAATGTGTCGCCTTTAAAGTCATTTTATATAAGTCGATTCTGTTTTCGCTACGAGCCACAAATGATCTTTTAGTTACTTTTAGTGCAGTTTTTCTAGCCAAGTATCTTTGCACCTTTTGTTTCGTGGGACTGCAAACGCTTTTTTCCCATCGTTGCCAATGCACATGTACGTCTGTTTGTTTGTATCATTTTGGCCAATTGTATGCTCTTTTGGCTACAAGATATAATAATAATTTTCTGATATGTCATGCAAGAACATTTTGTCGTTGAGTGTTTGTGTTTGTATTTGTTTGCTTGTTGTTTGTTGCATGCACGTTGCATGCACGTTGCATGCCCGTTGCATGCAATGCAGCCTGACTGTGTGGGGGCGTTTTCAAGAAAATCTAAAGCCTATGTGTCCAAATTTGACATCATGGGCACAGAAAATTTAACGCCCCATGTGGGCATGAATTGGGTAATACCTATTTGGTGTCTAACTGGCTGTCTGACCGTACATGTCTAAATGATGGATGCAATATGTTAAGCAACATAACTTAACTAATATCAACTTTACCTCAGATACGATTATAGCTGTTTAGTTGAGTAATGATTATTGTGCATTGTAATATTGACACTAGTCTTACAATATTTTGATTATTATTATTATTATTATTAGGGGGGAAGCTGCACCGCGACCTATTTGATCTATTGTGCCCCCCTTCTGAGCCTATAGCTCTTCCATCAGCCCCAACTCCCTTACGAACGTGAGGATCTTTGTTGGGTTGAGGTCTACTATGTCTTTGTAATTCAAAACATGCGCCCCTAGGATGCTGCTTCTTCTTCTAATTAAGGCGACACATTCTACCAGGATGTGCATCGAGGATTCCTCCTCTCTTTCACAAAACCTGCAGAGAACAATAATAATAAGAATCCTTTTGAGCTAAAAGATACACTGTATCAACATCTAAAATACACTTTCGCCTTTCTTATGCAGTACATTTTTTCTCCAATAAAAAATAAACTATATTTTTACACTTATTTGTCATTCATTGTAAGTTTAAAAAACTGCATAGGCTAAAGAAAAAAATGATTAACATAAATATTTAAAGCCAGAGAACAAACCAATTTGTATTTAAATTGCCATGTGCCACAACAAAATTTTGATTGAAAAACGAGCGGCGCTTAATATGCGTAAAAAAAAAAACAGAATCAAAATTTGGCAACACCAAAATTCCTCAAACACATACACATACATACACACACACACACATGAGAGTTCTTTTGACAAAAAAATGTCGTGTATGAAATTACGTGAGGTTCGTTGTTTTTGTTCTTGTTGTTGGTGTTGCGGTTATTATAACGCCGCCCGCTGACTGCCACAGATATGGTAATAATATTGGCAGAGACCGCACTCTATTTTAGTGGCTATTAAAAGCTGCCTCTGACTGTGACTCGTAATTACCGCCACCGATCAATAAATAAACAGCTTACGACAAAAAAACAGCTACAAAAGTCGCATGCAAAGTGTCACTTTCAATTGCAGCGTTATCTGTCCTTAACAGTTGCGCACAACTGCCGAAAACCAAGTCACCAAATGCTCGCAACGCCTTCTTAAATCTATGAGCCCAAGAAAATGCCGCACCCAGCAGCAACTCTAACTGCAACAGCAACAGCAACTTCAGCAGCATCAACAGCAGCAGCGATCTGAGCCAGCACATGCGTGGTCTCTCTATGACTCTATGTCTATGACTACGTCTCCTGCCTGCCCTCACTCCCGCACCTCATGCACACCTCATGCAGCTGCAACTCGACTCGAGTCGAATCGTTGTCGTTGTCGTTGTCGTCGCTGCTGGCTGCTTGCTGCTTGCTGCTGCTTGCTGGCATCGCCTGCGCGTATATAAATACTTTTGGTCATCGTTGCAGACATCAGTTCAGCTTACGATTTCGTGCTATAAACGGTCCTCCAAAGCGTCTTAGTTTGCCGTATCCAAACTCACAGTTGTGCCAGTTTCAGTTTCAGTTCCAGTTCAATTTTTGAAACGAATCCTTCGTCCATTTTATTCGCGTCGTGCGTCGTCGTCGTCTGTGCTCAATAGAAACATGAAGGTATGCAATATCGCATAGAAAGCAATAACAAAACGCTGCGCATCACATAAACATACAGCAAGGACTCATTTTTTGCCTCTTCTTCACGTACCCTTACACACACAAACATAAATACATACACACACACACACACACACACACACACAAACAGTACTTTGTTGCCATCGCTCTGCTGTTCGCTGCCGTTCAAGCTGTGCCCATTGAACTGGGCCACTATGCCCCATCGTTGCTGCAGGTGCATCATGCGCCCGTTCATGCTGTGCATGCTGTGCATGCAGAGCCGGTGGCCTATCCCAAATACTCCTTCAACTATGGCATTAAGGATCCCCATACCGGCGACATCAAGTCCCAGGCTGAGGAGCGTGATGGTGATGTTGTAAAGGGTAAGTTGAGCTGGTTTTCAAGCTCTTTAATAATATTTTCAAAAGATTTCAAGCTTAGATTTCTCATCACGTACCTTAAAACAATCTAAAAAAAACTTTATATATACCAAAGACTTACCAAAGATATAAGACTTAAATCATGTGTTAAAAAAACTAAAGACTTAGGCAACATACTTATTAAAGATTAAAGATTGCTGATGAAAAAAAGACTTAGGCAACAAACATACTTGTTTGACTTTCTCATATCTTAAAAAGTGATTTAATTATTTTCCAAACAAATATTTTGTGCATATTCTATTTTATTGTTTATGTTCATAATGAAACAAATTTGCCATAAGATAAACAACTATTTAACTATTTAACTAATTGCCATCTTCGCATTGCACAGGCCATTACTCGCTGGTCGAGCCCGATGGTTCAGTGCGCCACGTGGACTACACTGCCGATGATCATAATGGTTTCAATGCCGTCGTCCACAAGACCGCGCCCAAGATCGTTCAGCATGCGCCCGTTGTGCACGCTCCCGTGCTGGCACATGCCCCTCTACTGCACCACTATTAAACAAAACTGAGGAGGCGCCGAGTCACGAAAGGTGCTTTCCCAACAACCACAAACCACAATCACCAGCAATATATAGGAACAACAGGCAGATAAAACAGATCCATTGAAACAAAAATCGTTAAACAAAAATGAATGTAAATTTTCTTGTAAGTAAGTAAAATGTAGCTAAGAAGTTTTAGTAGAAAACGGGCAATATTAGTATTTGCCCGGCACCCGGCTGATCTGGCATGGCATGGACGAAGGAAATACGAAAACAAACAAACAAACAAAACAAAAGCAATGACTTGATCTTGATCATAGTTTGATGATGATAATGATGATGACGATGGTGAACGATAATAATGTTTTATATCAAGCGTACACTGAAACAGCAGCAGAAAGCACAGTAGAAAACGAGGCAAAGTTATTCTAGATATGTATATTTTGTATATTTAATCAACGTTTCATATTATGTGTAACCATTTTCGCCCATATTACCAAGCATCAACCGTTAACCCCAAAACGTTCCAAGGCCAGTTAAAATCGAGAACAACACTTCTGCAGCAGATGTAAATGCTCACCGCAAAAGGCATCCAAAAGAACTTCTACCCACCAACACATGTGCAATCTAATGTGCAGCCTTTGACTATCTCAACAAACTCATTACTTAAACTCTTCATTTCCATTGCTCAACTTTTGTAATATATATTTATGTAGAGTTTTTTTTGTAAGCTCAACTATCGGATGCCTTTGCGCCAAACTGTGGCCAACTGTCAAGAACTGCCACGCCCACAACATCAGGGGGGCGTGCAAGCTCCGTCAACATTGTTTAATATTTAAGCAACGGGAGCATTTTGTGCCATTTCGGTTGGACTACAGTTTGGCAGCCACTGGGCAACAAGCAGCATAACTTGGAACGCATGAAGTGGGAAAACAATTATTGGTTCTTAATTCAGACATTCAGTTACGTTTTAAACATACTTATTATCAATAACTCTCACCCACTCACTGTCTCACTCACTCAACTGTCTCTCTTTCCCACGTTCACTCACTCTGTTTATCTATCACCCTCGAACGCTCAACTGACGCTCTCTATTATCTCACATACTCACTCTCAGTCTGACACTTTTGTATCTAGTTTCATTTTTGCATTTAGTATTCTTCACAATTTGTGTGTATTGTATATTTATAAACAATTATGCCGCTTAATTATAATATCAATATATATATATGTATATAAATGTTAAAACAAAAATCACAAAAAAAATAATCATTGTTGCATCAATGTTGTCTCTGTAGAAAAAAAAAAACTCTCACATGTCTCTCACGCTCAATGTTTATTGAGTAATATTTTGTATAAATTCTTAAAAAACGAAACAAAACACGACAAACAGCAAGCGAAATGCGAAAAACCTTATTATCGAATTATAAAAATGTATTAATAGAAAACTACAAAAAAATGAATAAAAATCTAATTAAAAAAGATGCTCAAGCTTACAAATTTATATTTATCGGTTTTCAGAACACTTACAAGGGTCAAGCAAATGTCATTATTAAGGTAACGAAAATACACAACCAATACTATTATTTTCGCTTAGCTTCTCTCCATTAACCATATTAATTTGAATGAACATGCTGAAAGAAAATTTAGCATGCCAACATTGGGTTTCTAATTGGGGCTCGAAGCTCTTGGCACTCAATAATGTTTTGACCGACAGTCTAAGGTGTCTTCAGTTCTATTTTGCCACTGGAAGTGTGCACAAGTTGCCGGATATACGGATATATAAACATAGGCATAGATAAGAATATTCAAAGCAAAGCAAGTGGCAAACATCAAATGTGTCTCGCATCTCATTAAAATTCAGTATGGGAACTTTGTCAAAATTATTTCGACTATGGCGTGTTGTAAGTACGTAGATGACCATAGATATTTGCTTTTATTAATGAAGTGCATAGAAAACAAAATATATTTTTCTTTTTAATGAATATAAACATTGACACATTGTGATCTAGCAAACACTTAGTTGAGAAAATATTACAAAAATGTTGAAATTCTAAAATAATTTTTGTACACTTCAAAATAAAATATTTTCTCAAAACATAAATTAAACGGTTGATCAGCATTCATAATTCACTTATATATATTTAAAAACAAGTAAATAAAAAGAAAGGAAAAGCTCTACTACTAGGATATCTGAACCGGATTGTGACATTATTCTAATTTTATAGCCCAAAAATACATAAAAGCGAATTTAAAAACAGATTCGAAAGTAGTAAACTTATCACTTGTTTTTCTAAACTGAACCAATTTTTTGTGGACATATGCCTCTCTGATCATGGTTTGTGCTCTAGATGAATTTGGCAACTGGTCTATTTTTTAACGAATCTAAGTTAAATGGAAAAGCATAAAACTTAACCAAAAACAGCTTGTTAAACTGGGCAAAGCTTTTCAGCCATGCTTCCGTTACTAAAAGTAACCAAAGCTCTAGTTTGTTTGCCTTAGAGTATGCAATATTATTTGTCGTCTCTTACAGTTGCTGATGCTGCTAATGAGCACAAAAGTATACGCCGCGTTGGCCATGTCACTGCCTGGAGATGGAAGTACAGCATACTCAAAGACATTGAAGGAAAATCGAAGCAAGCCGAGCAAAACGAGCAACTATTTTCTGCATCAGCCATATGGTAGGCCAAATAAATACCACAACGTGAAACATAACTTCAATATGAATCCCTTACAGGTCCCAATACGTATGCCTTTGGCTATGAGGTGGACGATGCACAAACGGGCAATGTGCAGTTTCGAGATGAGAGCCGTTATCAAAATGGCAGCATTGCGGGCAGTTATGGTTTTGTGCGACAAGACGGACTTGTACAGGTGACACGCTACAAAACCGATGAGAATGGCGGATACTTGGCACATTCACAGAGTTATTCCCCTGGGGATCAACAAGTGGATACAATTTGGCCACAACAGCTTCCCCAGTTATTCAATCATAGGCACCAACTGGAGCCAGCTCAAAATGTTAGCTGGGATGCCAGAAATCATTTGAATGTGAGCGTGGATCAGGTGGAGCAAACTGTGGCAGATCATCTGAAGCAACATGGTCTGGACCTGTTCAACATCAATGTGACAGAGGATCTGCTGCACTCTACAGCTCTTGACATAGTCAATGGCCGAACGCCTTTAAAAAGACAGCCCAATGGCAGTTTGGCATTTGAAATACTGCAAGACTTTTTGCCCAACAATTTGCCGGTGGTGCCATTTGAGCTGAAGGCAAAAGAACTCACAACAACAAGTGCTGAGCCAATGCATGAAAAATACAACAAAGCCAAGACCAATAATGATGAGAAGGCGCCACAGGTGGCAGCTGAAGTCACCAATGTGTTGCCAACACCGAAACCATTAGTTAGCAGCAGCTCAAACGAGAGCAACTGGTACCAGCAAATCATTCAGGCAAATCGTCGTCAATTCCTTGAGCAGTTACCAAATTTGAGTGAAGCTAATGCTTGAAATGTGGCACACAAAAATCTGTTAAAAGTGGCTGCTCCACTATAACCATTAGCCATGCCGACACGCCCCCTTTTCAGCGATTAATAAGTATTAGGTAAGAGTGAGCAGGCAACATCTTTCACTTTTCTATACGTAAAAAGTTTTTCGCGCGACTCATAAACCATTTTAGCTGGCATTTGCACAAGTAGTTCAGCAAAAAGAATTTGAATAAAAGTGCATAAGCCCAACAAACAATCGCAAAAGCTGCAATTTACAATTTACACTCGACTACATAGACATGGACCGCTCTGTGGCATATTTCGCATATCTTCCGGGTTTGCCAGGCACAAATTGGAGCAAGTCTTTTATCGCTAATCGCGATGGTTATGCATTTTTTTTGGACCTTTTCCAGCGATCAAAGGCGGCATTTTAAGACTTTGTCCAATTTATGGGTTAAAAGCTGAGCCAAAAAAAGTGTGGGCGACAAACAGGTTGGCAGTAAAGTCCACAAATATATATATGTACCTATATAAAAACATTATTATATATTTGTATTTCGAGTTTACTTAAAAAAAAAAAGACATCAGGAAACGTTCGAAATGCGTTTGCCAAAAACGGAAGGAAATGTATTGCATTTTGATTTGTTCACTTTATGGTGTTTCTTTTTTTTTGCACTATACATCATTGTTGCACTGCCTCATGAATATTTAAGCTGATTTATTATATTATTCCATTCCATTGCAGCTCTAATTTGAATCACGCACACTGCCTCGCCTCACCCGACTCTTATTTGGGAATTGTCTTCGGATTGTGCAACGGCCAGCAACAACAATATAGCTAAACTTGTATTCGATATTTATAAATTGTACATTTTACATTTTTATGATTGGGTTTTTTTTGTTGTTTTCTTGATTGTGAGTGCCTATCAATCGGATGTCTTTCGTGCATTCACTTTTATTGTTCAATTCCATGGAGAAATTATATATAAATTGTATGAATAGAAACTCGTTGCAATAAATGATTGATGAAAAGATTCATAATTATAAGCTCATTACTAATAAAATTACTCAATTAAAGATTTAACGCTGTACATAAGTAAAGGGTAAGAAGAAAGTAAAGTCAAGTAAGTAAATGGTAAGATGAAATAGAATATGATTTTATCATTGGAATTAGATTTGGTATACAAATTGTATTCAATGAAAACTATTTAATTTTTTCCGTTCTAAGTTAAACTTTTTTTTTAAATCAGTAACGAAACAGAAAAATCATTTTAACTGGCAAAGCTACCAGATATATAGTGAAATATATTCCTAGGCGTAAGACAATATAGTTGGCAGATTCTATGCGGCGTTGCTTTTTAAGTCTTCCCGGTTGATTTAACATCCAAATATTTGACATCCAAATATTATTTACGTGTGAAAATCTAGTTTTCGTAATATTTTGAGGATTTTACAATACACATTTCTTTCTATCTTTCTCTCACTCTCTTTGACTGTCGATTGTGTGCCAATTAAACTAGCCACGTTCATAACTCTATTCAGTTATATGGCCACAAGGGGCGCGTGCACTGATTTTATTTGAGGGAAAATGTGGAATGAGTGGCATGTGGCGGCACAAGAGGCACGCGGCATGTGGTACTGAGTGCTGGGAGTTGCATTGCTGCCAACTTTCATATGCATTCAAGTGTTTTATTGTATGTTAATTAAATTGTTGCTACGTTCATTTCGTTTCGGCTGTTTTTTTTTCAGCTCATTTCAGCTGCATTATTTGGCATACATATTTGGTCATTAACTAATTGCTGGCAGACCGCTGAGGTAATCACTTTTTTCTTTTCTTTTCTTTTCTTATTATTAAGTCAGCCAGTTGCAAAATGAACCCAGTACTTAGCCGTAGACGGTGTGAAAGTCTTCTCTCTGCTGATACGTAACGTGGAGCGCTTCACGTCTGCGTTACGTATACGCACAGTGGCCAACGCAATGAAGATATCATTGGGAGTGGAACTGATGGTGCACTTCAACTTAACATTGATCGCATTTCGTCCCTGCACGCGTAAGCTTGTCGAATAATAATCGCTTGTTTTGGTCAAATTTATTAGTGCAAAATGTGTCGGACGAGGCGATGCTGACAACTTGATTGGAGGAGTAGCCAAGCCAGTTTATCTCCTTGACACACCGGTTGCATAAATTTACCAAATTTATAATCTTGATATGGCCAGGACGGGGCCAGCAAAACTGGTCAATTTCATAACATCCGGTTGCAACGCGCTTGAAACGTTGTTAATTGTCAAACGCTGGGGGTTGCCAGCCAACAGGAAAAACAAAAGAGAGAGAAAAATAAAAAAAGAGTAAAATAAATAAGATGAAAGGTGAAAAAAACCATTCACAGCTGATTCCAAAACTTACGTCAATTATCCAAACCTGAAGCTTGATAAAATAAGGTAAAAGCATTTAACCTACTTCGAACAACTTTTAGGCGCATTTCATTGTAGGAAGTCAGGGTCTGACCATAAATGTCATTCCAATAGCCAATTGTCTAAGTAAAGAAACAAGCACACACACACACACACACACATAAACAGAAGAGACCAATCCAAGGAAGTGGCTAAAAGCGAAGAGTTTCCTCGTGTGAAATGTATGAAATGTGTGAAAGCTGCACTCGCCACTCGAATTTAAATGATTCGCTTATTTTACGTCGTAAATAGTATTTTGATTAGCGCTCACATAATTAGACCATAACTTGCCACTCTGACTTAATTTCAATTGAAAATTGCCACTTGGAAATTGTCTTGCGAGTGGTGAAAAATCTGCCGCTGAGCTCCAGCTAAAGTCGCTGCTGCATTCAGGTGGCTGCAAGTTTTCCGTGTCTTGCAACACATGATGTTAATGTGTATGTGTGTGTGAGTCTTAGCTGCCATATGATATGATTATGTGATTTGCCAATTTGCATTTAATTAATTTCTGCAACTATTTATTATGTCAACGTTGGACACGACAACAGCGATGACAACTTGTGAGAGCAGCCGAGACAACTGAATTCGAATTCCAATGCAATCCAACAACTACCGCTTCCAATTTATCCAAACATTTCGCTTTGTTTGGATTCCAGATTTCGGAGCAACTTACGTGTACAATGGAGCTATTGTGCTTCGACTGCAGATACAAATTAGAATAGATTGCATATAATCCACTTTGTCCCTGTAAAAATTCCAAACTTCTATGGCTTTTGACATAACTTTGTCAAAATTGATACTTTCCTCAAAAGCCAGGGATTCGTCTACATGGTTGGACACCTGAAATAACACTACATTAAAAATTAACAACGCAATTTTTTTAACAACGCAATTTAAAATTATATACAAAAAATTAATATTGATGAGACAAACTTCCCAGAGCCATAAGTTTGCCTAAATTGATACGATTTTTAAAAATCAGGGCATTTTAATCATGGCTTGACCACCAGATTAATACTGCACCTACAGTTATAAACAGGATTTTAAAGCGAAAGTCAGTTTAGGTCGAATGTCCACATAATAATAATAGCATTTTAATACTACTTTCAAGCTCGTAATCCTAATAAATTGCTTCGACTTACTTGGTTGTGTCATATTTGATAAATATTCCAATAAAAAGACTGCGGACTGCCCATATTCACTCTTTTTTCAATCTTCACTTCCTCTTTGTTATCTATATAATATTACTCATACGCCGCATAAGCTGGCATCTTTGTTCACTCGGGTGCCACTTTAAATTATTAGTTGTAAGCGTAGCTCATTTAGAGAAGATGAGGAGTAGACGCAGACTCATTAGGAATGCGTGTATAATCGCTAAAAACAATTGAACAACAATGAATATGAATTGTAGGCAGTAAAATTATGCCATGGTCTAAAGGCTTTTGCTAAAGCACCCGAAATGTAATTTCAATTACGTGCAGCAGCAACATGTTGCTGCTGCTGCTGTTGCTGATATTGCGCAAGCGGGCTGCATAAAAGGATAAGCATTACAGCAACAACAGCGAACGATTCCCACGACAACTTTGGAAAGATGCACGCGTCTGTGCCCGGCTCGTTAGGAGCCCAGAGTCTAAATAAATATGAGACAATGAGGCAAAAGTTGTTTGTCTCATGTTGCTGCTGTTACTGTGGCAGTCAAATGCCAGACAATCGGCCATGCTGGCTGCAACAGCAGCAGCAGCAGGCATGTTGCACATGCACAACAGCCGCACTTAATGCATTTACTGTATGTCCAACAGTAAATATGAGTTACTAGGTAATTGCCGGGCACTGCCACCAGCAACAGCTGCTGTTGCTGCTGCTGTTGCTGGTGCTGGTGCTGGTGCTGGTACTTGCGTTGCTATACATGCCCACAGTTTAACTGAAAATGGCGAGTTGTGCCATTTTTGACTTTTCACTTTTCGTGAGAGCAATTTGATTGAGTGGCGAAGCTAAACTAAAACTTTGACTACAACCAAAAATCAAAGTAAAAATTAACACCTGCAGGAGGTGTAAAAGCAACAGCGTGGAACAGGAGATGCTTCAATGAGCAAAAAACAAAATTAAAATGAAAATGAAAATATGTGAGCGCCGTTTGTAACGATGACGACAACTTTTTGTATATAGGCAGCTAACCAAACAACAATGCACTCGAATAATATCAACTTAAATAGAAAAACTGTTGGTATTGTTATGCTTACTAAACGCAGAGCCGTTAGAGTACATTAGCTAATGCTTTACTTTTGAAACAACTTTAATAATAATAGTTCCACTAGAATATGGTTGATCAAAAAAGAATGTGCAGGTTGCAGCGAGCGCATGAAATATATATATTCTTGATCGATATAGTCAGCTCAGGGACTATGAGAGAATCGACTTTAGATTTGGAATTATAAATAAATGAAAATAACTGTTAAAACAGATATTGTCAGACACTCACGACAATATCTTACAACTAATTATTTATATTATAGAGTATACGCTTCGTGGATGTGCCTCGCGCCAAAAAATGAAAATAAAGAGCTGCATTGAGACCGAGCACTGAAAAATTGTATCAACATTGTGTTTAATTGCGTCGCTTCGCCAAATTGCAAAATATCTCGCAAGGAGACTTGGATTTTTGGCATGCTACTCTAGCAATAACTACAGCTCCAGCTACAACTTACAACTTCAACTTGTGGTCGCATGTTGACTTGCATTATATTTTCCACCTGCAGCAACACCGACGATACACACACACACACACACACACACACGCACACTTACACACACATTGTAACATGTATGTGGATATTCCACTGTCGACCATAATTAAGCATTTATTTGATTTGCCATATTTCTTGTAGTACGAGCAAATGCTTTTTGAACTCGAGATTTGCGGATTGGTAATCATCATAAAAAATGTATTTTCTTTTTCTTTTTATTTATGTGTTTTCATTTTCATTTTCGTTTTTTGTTTAGTTTTTCGCTTGTTTGGCTTGTCATGCTTTGCCGTGTTGTCAAATGTTGTCGACTTTAAATTTAGCAATTAAAAATGTGGTCGTATTAAAACGAACATTAACCCGCGAATAAACGCTTTAAGGTAAACAGAGTTCGATCTTGAGAATTGGGGTTATAAAAAGTGGGAGACGGCAACGATGACTATGACGATGATGTTGCAAAGATACGTTTGAGATTGGTAAACAAATTCAAGCAAACTGGGATGATTGCCAAAAACGTGAGATTTGGGATAGGGTTCGAAAGAGATGATTGCATAACTTGAAGTATGTGCAAAGAATTTTATGTATACGTCAACTAAGTTGATGTACAAGTGTGTATTATTTAAGCTGACAATTTAATGTTATATTCTCAATATATTTCTTAAACTTCTTTCTAAAATTTGAAACCCAAACGTATTTTCTTGGTATCCAAGTCCAATTTGCCCGTTTAAACCAATTCGTAAATTTCAATTGCCATCAAGGCTACTTACATTCCAGCTCATTACATCTCATTGCAGCACATTCGAAGCAATGCAATTACCAAATCGTATTTTAGTTCTACAGTTGATAGGAATAGTTAACTGGTGAGTCTATAGTGAGTAATCCAATACATTTACAAATCAAAGACACGTGAGATATACTTCTAGGCAAGACCAACAACAACCGCTTGACATACCAAGCTGATTGTTAAAAATGCATGGAGTATACGCTCCGTTGCCTAATTAGCAAAGAGTGTGTGGAACAGTTTGAAGATACCTCCTTGGGGGCGCTCCGAAAAATCGTTCAATTGAAAATGGACTCAATATAATTGGTAAATTTCTCAATGCTGCTATTGCTGTTGCTGCTGCTGTTATTGTTGCACTTAACTTTGATTTGAAGTACAATCTAAACGACGTGCAGCTAATGAAAATACATCGAACGAAAAAGGCCTGCAGCAGCAGCAACAGCAACAGCAGCAGCAGCAACAATAAGAGAAACACTTAAATATTACAAAAGTTGGTTTATAGTTCAGTTTATTGTTGTGGCCAAAATGCTCAATTTACAATTTACGATTAGCGCATTAAAAGTAAAAGATAGAAGATCAAAAGTTGCCTAGCAGCAGCAGCAACCACAATATCAAAATCATAGCAAGCTTTAACCAAAAATTTAGGTCAAACTGCGCTTTATGATGGGATTCGTAACTGTCAAGCGATTATGAAAGATAAATGCAGCAGAGCGTGGGCAATCTAATATAGATATACTATACTATATCATGAAAATATTAACAAACACTGTAAACTTAACTGGCTACCAAAATTTGCAAAGCCAAGGCACCTTCACACTGGCAATGTCCTAACAATGACAGTTACTGGCCCCACATTATCAACAGTTACTAACTGAATTGTTTTACATTAATTCAGATCTCTGATCCGCTGCTCCGCTCACTGCGCCACCGACACCGACACCGACGTCGACGTCGACTGCGACGGCAGCTTAGACGTTGGCTTCGTCGGTGGACTTTCTTCCTAACTATATAAAAGCGGCCGTGGTTCGTTGCAACCACATTATTCAGTTGTTGCGTGCAGCTCGTGGAACGTCGATAAAGCCAATCCAACCAAACAAAAATCAAACTACAATTTAATTTCGATCCCCTGAAAAACTCAAACACACACAAAAATTTAAAATGGCCTTTAAGGTGAGCAAACAGCCAAAGGATACAGTTTTCAAAGGATACTAAAAAGTGTGAACAATTATTTAAAGTGCTCCCTTTAAGGATATAATTTATGTCAAAAGTGTTAAAGTGTTTTAATGATTTAAATGAGTAACAGAACTTACATATAATCCGCCTAAAAGTGCTGTGAAAGTATTCATTTGGAAATACTTGAAGACGTTTCAGACATTCCATTTTCCATTTTCAATTCATTTCCTATCAAATATATATCCTACAAGCATTAGGTTCAAGTAAATGGACTTGTAAAATAAAATTAAATGACAGCTGACAACTAAAAATGCTTCCAAAATTAATTATTTAAAATCTAATCCACTAACATAATAATTTTAATAATCAATCAATAATTTTTAAGATTATCATAACTCTTAACACAAAAAAATCAAAACTGCAAAAGCGAACCCAACTAACCACAGTTTAAGTAAATGTTACAATTTAAGCCACAAATCATTAAAACAAGCAGTCAGAAAGTAAAAACCACTAAACAACCGCGAACAACACTCCATTAAAATTGCACGGGTAAAAAAAGAGTGTTAAAAGCAGGTTGTTGGCTGGTTTTCCGCAAAGTTGTGGTTGTTGTTTGAACTTACGCTAATTGCGAGACCTCAACAAGTCATGTTAACAAACAATTAGCTAAAACCGACACTCAATTATGCAATTGCAGTATCTAATTTTTGCGTCGGCTTTGTGCCTGAGTCTCGCCTATCCGCTGGACCATCACTACTACGAGCATAGCCATGGCGGCTATGAGCATTTGGCCCACCAAGAGCACGAGCCCATACACGATTATGGACATGAGCATCAGGTGGAGCGCATCTCTCAGGGCGAGGAGCATGGTCATGAGCAACCTCACTATGAGGTGGAGCAACATCATACCGAGGACGAACATGTCGATTACTATGTGAGTTAAACGATGGAATTCAGTTATGTAAATTTCTTCATCATTTCTGATTCTGTTTAAGGCTCCTCCCAAATATGCCTTCAAGTATGGCGTCAACGATTTCCACACTGGCGATGTGAAGTCCCAGCACGAAACACGCGATGGCGATACCGTTAAGGGCCAATACTCTCTGGTGGAGCCCGATGGTTCCATTCGCACCGTTGACTACACTGCCGACAAGCACAATGGCTTCAATGCTGTCGTCCATAAGACAGCACCTGTACATCATCATGAGGAGATCCATGAGCAACACGATCATCATGAACATCACTACTAAGCGGGAAACGACGATTTAAAAAAACAAAAAAAAACAAAACCAGAGAGAGAGACCATAACTATTGTTTAAAACTGTGTACTAGAATTAGCCAAATTTTTTGCTAATGCAGCTTCATCATCAAACATACACACACACTCACACATATACGTACACTATGATCAATCCATGTAAATGTAATCAGCTTCATATCTCGTAATTAGGACACTGACAAACATTCATGCACTCCAAGCATGCGTTTTCATAATACTCATATAACGTTTTTATATCGTATATTTTATTTCTGTGATAGCAAATAATTTCCACTTAAACTATTCTAATCTAATTTTTCCTCAACTGTTTCTTAGTCACTACTTCACTATTCACTCTTTGAAGGCTAGATCATTCCGCTCAGACGAATTTATCAATCTACAAACTACATAATTGCATATCCATAATATGTTTAAAAATTTGTTTACAGAGAACAACTAATTACAAACGAAGTGTAAATTTTGTAATTTAATAAAAATGTGAATTATGTACTTTTTATAAAACCAAGAAAAACAATTCTTCGTTTAATATTATTTCAGTATTTCCTTGACCAATCATTGAACTTGCACTTATGGCAATTTTTTTAGATTAATGTCTAAATGTGCAACATGCTCAACTGGTTTATTCGGCATCAAATCAATAAAAACGGATTACAAGAAACAGTCAAAGACATTTTCCGCCTCAAAACGAGTTGTGTATTTGTTTTAATTGAAAATGACATAAGTTGCCGACTGCTTCCTAAATGGTCAAAAAACAAAATAAATTGTTGGCAGCATTTTTAGTTAATTAGCTGAAAGCTGGAATAGTTGAAAAACCGCTGCAAAAGAGTTCAAAATACTGTGTAACAACTTGAATTGCTGAAATATCTCTGAAAGAGTATTTAAATGTAAAAGCTGTTAAACGGCCAGCGCTTAACAACGTGTGGAGCAATTATGTTGAGCACATGTTAAGAACGTTGTGCACTGCCAGCTGCCAGTGTGTACACATCAGCTGAAATAAACAAGCAAAATAATAACAAAAGGGCAGAGTACAAGGGGCAAATGAGAAGTAAACAAAAATGTTGGAGAAAAATAAATATGTGCCGCGTGTTAATCAGGTAAATAGCTAAGTTAAACCACAATACGATTCAATAACTAAAATCAATTCCAGATAGATGCAATTTACCTTAACAAGGACATTGCACGCTTGATACGCAATAACCTGCTGGAGAATTTACAGGCCATATCGGTAGATAAACCCCCATTTGCAACAAATAAATGACCTACTAACTAATCTTAACTGTAGCCCGTACTTTTTATCAAAGTCCAACCGGAACTCGATCTGCTCATACAATCGGCGCTTTGGTTTGGCTCCGTTGGCAAACGTTGCTCGACATTTGGCCAACAATTATTGGTTTTGGCCTACGATGCGGAGAAACTCACGCTTTCCCGATTGGTGCTACACTTTGCCCTCACTGTTCTGCCTGGCTATGTGAAGAGCTGGGAGGAGCGCCGCTTGTCCCGCCGAGTCGAATGGTTCAGCCAGGCAATAACGTGGGCGGAGAATAGTGCTCTGGTTTTGAACGTGCTCAACTATTTTAGGTTCTTGAAGACGGGAAGAAAGCCCACATTAATTGACTATCTATTGGGTCTGGACTACATTAGTTTGCGCAATAATCAAAGACGCGACATTGGCTACAAGTATCTCACGCGTGAGCTGCTCTGGGGCGGTTTTATGGTAAGGCAGCCATTGCAAAAATTTGAAACAAAACAACTCACTAAAATTTGATAAACTTGCAGGAATTTCTTGGTCTGCTTCTGCCGATTATAAATTTTCGCAAAATCAACCGCCTACTGAAAGCTGCCTTCTTTGGCACGGAGGGCCTAAATTCGCTGCGGCGCGAAAGTATCCAACGGGAGCTTGTTGCCGCCAAATTGACAACAAATACAACATGCACTTATTGTGGAGAACGTCCAACGCTGCCGCATCATATGGGTTGTGGGCACATTTATTGTTATTACTGCATAAGCGCTAATTTCCTGACGGACGCCAACTTTTGTTGTGTTAAGTGTGGTGCTGGCTGTCTAGAAGATGGTGTACAGATTGTCTGATTGTTGTGGCTAGACTTTTATACTCTAGATTTTAAATATTATTCAGAAAATGCGGAATCGATGAAAATGTTTTTTGTGTTCTATTGGCGCGCTGGGCAATTTGGTATCATCGTGATCTGGTCACATTGTATATAGCTGTGTGCGCGGTGTGTGGATTGGCCGTCGGTTTTTTACTTTATTCACGTGGTTATTGATTAATTCAATCACCTTAAAGTGCATAAGTCAAAAGTAGAAAGTGTAACAATTGCCTGCAAATAGTTTGCGTAATAGAAGCATTCCAAATAAACACAAAAGGTGAGCGAAAACAATGAAAAAAAAGCGCGCCAAAATGAGCGTGCAGCTGCTCAATGTTCAGCTGTTGCGTTCTAACCGAGCGTTGCCACCTGCGCTCAGCAAAACTAAAAAAATAGTTATAAAAACTATTTATGCACATTTCTATAATTATATATGCATAAATAATACAATATTAATATTAATTCTAAGCTCAGCTTAAGTCTTAGTGTATATTTAAGACAATTTCATAAGTTTGGCAAAATCAGCTGTTAGCCCGATCTGGCAACACCGACACTTTGTTATTACATTACATTTGTATTTCTGCTGCGCATTTGCCTATTTTTTTGCCTTTGTTCGGAGTGTGTATTAGAAAACGACAATATACTTAAGAAAAGACGCCAAACAGCACAATTAATTGTAAAACGCCCAAGATTACACGTTTACGCAATCAAACAATTGAACGTGCAATAATAGCCAAGAATAATAGAAGAACTAGCGACTACACCAACAACGCAAACATATAGCAAAAAGAGGAGCGAGAAAAAACAAAACGGACTTGAACAAATAACAGGCAAAACAATAACAAAAACAACACGAAATTGCGCATATTTTCGTGGGTCGCAGCTGATTTCACATATCAAGGTCAGTAAGGTGGCAGAAATTGAACAAAATGCAAAAAAAAAAAAAAGATAAAGAAAAAGCGATTACATTTTTATTTTTGGTATTGTCTGCCACACAGAATAATGCTCGACCTGGAAATAGTCCCAGAAATCTCTCTGGGCTGCGATGCCTGGGAGTTTGTGCTGGGAATGCATTTCTCACAAGCAATAGCGATCATACAATCCCAGGTGGGCATCATAAAGGGCGTACAGGTGCTCTATTCGGACACGGATCCGCTGGGCGTGGACATCATTATAAATCTGCCTCAGGATGGACTGCGTTTGATCTTTGATCCGATTGTTCAACGCCTGAAAACCATTGAAGTGTTCAACATGAAACTGGTGAAGCTGAAATATTGCAGCTCCTACTTCAATTCACCCGAAGTGCTGCCCAGTATTGAACAGATCGAGCATTCGTTTGGCGCCACCCATCCGGGTGTCTACGATGCGGCCAAACAGCTCTTTGCGCTCCACTTTCGTGGATTGAGCTTCTATTTCCCGGTGGACAGTAAACTGCATTCCGGCTATGCTCATGGCTTGGGTTCGCTGGTCTTTCTCAATGGCGCCTCACCGGTAGTATCCAAAATGTCCCTCTATGCGGGCAGCAATGTGGCCGAAAATCGTCCACCAGCCTTGCCCCTGTCCTGCTATCATCGTCAAATGTATCTGGAATCGGCAACGGTGCTGCGCACTATCTATGGCCACACCAAGGGTCTGAAGCTCAAGCTATACACGGAGGGATCTGGCCGCGCTTTGGAGCCACGTCGTCAGTGTTTCACGCGTGAGCTGCTCTTCGGTGATAGCTGTGAGGATGTGGCCACCAATCTGGGTGCTCCCAACCGTATCTTCTTCAAGAGCGAGGACAAAATGAAGATACACAGCTCGTGTGTAAATCGCCAAGTGCAGAGCAAACGCAGCGACATATTCTTCAACTATTTCACACTGGGCATCGATGTGTTGTTCGATGCCCGGACACAAACCTGCAAAAAGTTCATACTGCACACCAATTATCCGGGCCATTTTAATTTCAACATGTACCATCGCTGCGAGTTTCAGTTTCAACTGGAAAGCGATCATCATGTGACTGGCGAGAGTGAGAATAAACACGATCATGTCAATATATCTGCCTACACCAAATGGGATGAGATTAGCGGCTCGCTGGCCACCTCGGAGCGTCCAGTTGTGCTGCATCGTGCCAGCTCCACAAACACTGCGAATCCCTTTGGTTCAACCTTTTGCTATGGCTATCAGGATCTAATATTTGAAGTTATGCCAAATAATCACATTGCATCCGTGACGCTTTATAATACGGCACCACCGCGACAGCCTGCACACACCTGGCAGCAGCACAAAATGCAGGACATTCGCCTGACTGTCGCCTAAGATTGTGCCGGCTCGTCGTGTGTGTCTGTGTGAGCATGGTCCTGTGAGCTATGTGAAGCTACAAGATTCTAATTATAAGCTACAACAAAAAAAATGATCTAACCTAGACTTTAATGATTAGTAGTTACTTTACGAGTATCTATAGTAATTATATTTATAGAATTTCTATATAGCTGATAAGCAAATTTATCAGACGACTCACTGACCATATTGTTTCCGCTGTTCTACTATATTATTCCATTGTGTGGATTCGCCCTCAATTCATTACAGACATTAATTAGCAAACAGACTTTTAATTGCATGTCGTTAAAATATCTAAATATTTTAAGCTCAAAACGTGTATTTCTCTTTAAAAAAGAAACAAAAAAAAAACATAAAAAAATATATATAAATATAGTAATAAGGTTTCGACAAAAAATTGAGTTTTTTTTTATTATTGTCATTATGTTTACGCTGTGGTAATAAATATATACAAAAGAGAAATTTATGGCAATAGATCTTTTGATAAAGGCAAGAGATAACATATATAAATTGCTGCAAACACATTGAGCTATGATTATGTAGCACCATCAATCTTTCGTGTAGGTTTCCATAAGCGATACCATTCCTTACTTAGACATTTATCTCCGAATGATAATTAATTCTTTTGGCTTATAGACTAGTTGACGATGCCGGAACAAAGCGCGGAGCAGGAATCTCAGCCACAGGCACCACAACAAACTAAAGTGCCCGTTTATGATTCTAACATACTGCCAGATATGCTGCCCGTTTACTACAGACGTCTCTTTCCACATGAGCCCTTTTATCGCTGGCTCAACTATGGACACTGTAAGTTACAAACATTCTCAATAATTGATGACCACAGTAATCAATCTGTACCGTGCAGCGGAAGATAACATATTTGTGAATCGGGAGATATCCTTTACTTTGCACGACGATATCTACATACGCTACTTGTGCTTTGAGACACAAGCCGAGCTGGAAAAGGAGATATGTTCAAGTAATCCGTACAAAATTGATATTGGCGCTGTTTTGTCCACCAGGCCAAAGAACTTTCGAACCGTCGCCGGCGGTTTGACGCCTGTGCAACGTGAATTGGTCTTTGATATCGATGCAACGGATTACGATGATATACGCAACTGTTGTTCCGGTGCGGAAATGTGTCTCAAGTGCTGGAAATTCATGGTGCTGGCAGCACGTGTTCTCGATGCCGCATTGCGCGAGGACTTTGACTTTGAGCACATGCTGTGGATATTCTCCGGTCGTCGTGGCATCCATTGCTGGGTCTGCGATCACACGGCACGCCATTTGGATGCACGCGCACGTGCAGCGGTCACCGAGTACCTCAACATACTCAGCTATACGAATAATGCGGCACGCGTTCAAATAGGCGATCGGACGCATCATAGTCTGCGGCGGGCGCTGAAGATTGTGGAGCCCATGTTCGAGGAGATTGTGTTAGAGGATCAGAATCTGTTTGGCACGCCCAAGGGTATTAACAAGCTGCTGCAAATGGTCAGCGATGAGGGTGCGCGCAACGAGCTGGAGGCATATCTGCAGAAGACGCACGAGGATGGCGCCCACTCGAAACTGATCTGGGAGAGCTTTGTGCGCTTTGCGAACTCGATGCGTACCAGTGCCGCCAATGTGTGGAGTCGTAAACTGAAGCATATTGTGCAGGAGGTGCAGCTGTGCTTGCTCTATCCTCGTCTGGACATCAATGTGACCAAGGGCTTCAATCACTTACTCAAGGCGCCCTTCTGCATACATCCGGCCACGGGCAAGATCTGTATACCCTTCAGCATCAGCGCTGTCGCCAAGTTTGATCCGATAACGGTGCCGACCATATCCCAGTTGCTGCAAGAGATTAACGCTTACGATGACAAGACCAAAAGCTATATGGATGCGCCCGAAGATAAGAGTCGCATCAAGGATTATAAGAAGACCAGCATGTTCAAGGGCGTTGTGGTATTCGAGGAGTTTCTGCGCAAACTCGAGCGGAATTTTAAGAGTCAATCTATGGACTTTTGAGCCGGATTAAATTAAAACACAAAGTTAAATTTGAATTTATTTGCATTTCAATAAAAATCCCATTAGAATTGATTGATGCTTTTTTGAATTTATTAGATACTCGTTTATGATAAGTATTAGGCTACCAACAATAAATAGACTAAATGTTTGAGTTCACATACAACGCAGCCGCACCAGAGGCACTATGTTACCATCCTTGTCGTCCCAGTCCACCTCCACCTCCAGTTGGAACAGGCCATCGTCAATGGTGGGCGTCGTATCCGGCAGATGGGCCATTATCTCGCTCTGTCCAGTGCGCAGCTTGAATGAGGCTAAAGCGGCATCGCTGGCATCAGCCTGGCCGGACTGGGGCAGCGATACTTTGATCTTGGCCGGCAGTATGCTGCCCTTGCTGAGCACCAGTTTGGCATTGGAGTCATCGTTGCCGTGCCAAATGTACAAATCATCCTCGACGAGTACACAATCGTCGGCCTTCTGCAGCTGTGAATGCAACGGATCCAGCAGGAAAACCGCTTGCCGTGCACAGCCAATGGCAACCACCTCGTCCGTCGAGTGGCTGTTATGCAGCTTGGCATCCGGATAGCGAGCTGCCAGCGCCGACTGCAGTTTTGGTATTTGCATGGTGGCGCCCAGCAGTACAATATGATCGATGACTTTCAGCTCCGGATGTGCCTGCTGTGCACGTTCCAAACATTCGCTGAGCTGCTGTATCAGCCCGTTGATCACCGGCTGTATGAGGCTCTCGAAGCGGGCACGCGACATTTGCGCATTGAAATCGACGCCATCCATTAGGGAATCAATGTAGAGCTGCGTGGAGGGCAGCGTCGTCAGGATATGCTTGCAATTAGCGGCGGCAGTGCGGATTTTGGCCAGCGAACGACGTGACTCGTGCGGATCCAGTTTGTACTTGCGCTTGAACTCCTCGCAGATGAACTGCACTAGAGCCTCGGTAAACTGCTTCCCACCAATGGGAAACGGTCCATATTTAGCCAGCTCAATTAGGTAGCCATTCTCAACGGCATACAGAACAAAATCGCTGTACAGACCGCCACATTTGATGGTCAGCACGTGCTGACGATCCAACGACTGTTCCAGCTGCTCCTCGGCGATTTTATAGCAGAGCACCGCGGCTGTATGCTCGGCAATGATCTGTGCCACCTGAAAGCCAGCGTCCTTGGCAGCGTCCGAAAGTAACTTTACCGATTGCGGTGGATAATAGCTGGGTATAGAGAGCACCGCCATCGGCGCCTGATCGCTGGCCGTGTGATATTGTCGCGCCAGTTCCAGTTCAGCGCGAAGCAGTTCAACAGTTACTTGAAATGCGCTCATCTCTTTCGTTACTACAATATCGTCTTGATCCTCACGATCGGCTGGCTTTGTGTGCTCCATGCGGAACACGAACGACTCCTTGTCATATTCACACGGCACCTCCTTCAGGGCACTCGTCAGTTTGTCCTCGGTAATTTCAGACTTTGATTGCAGCAGCTGAAAACTGTGAGCCACCGCTTGCTTGGGTCGTGTGGCCATCTTTTGTTTCGCCGTAAGGCCGCATTCCGTTTCGGAGTCACCGTTCCACAGCAAACACGCTTGCGAGACGCGATCGCCCTGCTTGTTGGCGATGACTTCGGCCTTGCCATCGGCCCTTACGTAAGCGATGCACAGTGTGCTGTTACCAATTTTAATGCCAAAACGCGGCCACATCTCGCTTCAGTTTACAATTTAGTCTGACAAGATAGCAATTTAGTTAAAAATTAAATATATATATTACAAATGAAATGCAGCACGCGCACGTTTTTTGTCAGACAGCGCGGTAATACTATCGCCAATATCGATAGCTATCAGTGTTATTAGTGTTGTGTAAGTCTCACAATCGTGCTGCACAGTGCTGTGTAGATTTTTTTATGGATCGCAAGTATGTAGGTCTTGATGTTATGATGTGTTATGCATTCCAGTTGAACACATAATATTAAAAATCTCTCCATCAATTCTATCTACTATAAAATTTGAATTTAAATCTTCAAATAATTTATTCGTTGTTCGTTGTTATTTGGAATATTAAAAATCCTTCAGTTGTTATCCTTCACATATTGTGGATTATAAGTTAAGTTCATGTGTGTGTTATCTACCAACACTTATTCTAGCGTACGCTTACCAGCACGGGAAAAATATGTAAACAAAAATCTATACATAGTACCGTAAAGGAAAAGAGGCAAACTATTGACCCCAAATACGACGGCATTTACGACATTAGCACCACCCTACAAACTGTGGTTTTTGTGTCAAGCAAACAACACACACATACTTTCTTACATATGCAGCGCAATTGACGCCCCCCAAACCGACCACCAGCTGAAACGTTCCGATTCGTCATCGATTTGAGGCAAAAGCCAAACAATGGAGTGGAGGTGCAATGAAAATTAAAACAGAACTCTTAATTGAAAATTGAATACAAATCGAAATTCGTCTTGCTTAACTGCACGAATATGCGCATTTCGTAAGCAACGCGAAAATTATCAGTAAATATAAAAATTCGTTGCTGTTTAAACAATAATAATAAAAAAAACAACCTTGAAGATATACGCACACTCACACACATACACCCACTACATAATGGATGATAATCTGAGCACAAAATCCTCGGAGTCTTCGATTACAACCAGTGGCGAATACGAGATTGTGACCGATAGTAATGTGGCAACACCTTTGGAACAGGTGGCTCTACCATCGCCTGCCACCGCCACAGTTGTCGCAAAAGTCTCAGAATCGTTGAGTGCACTTACTTTGTCCCCGGATGGAGTTGGCGGGGATCGTTCGCCCACTCTTGACATGGCGCACAATCGCAATCTGAGCGACATTCAGCACGAGATGACGGATGCCTTGCGCGACCTGGAACTCGAGCGGAGTGCCCTGGCCGCCGCCAATGTTGGTGAGTGCGAGACACAGAACTAAACTAATTGAATAACTGACTGTGAACAATAAAAGTTGAATGTGCGCCGCAGTCAGTTGTTATTTACCAGGCACCAGCTGAGCACACACAAACGTTGCGTAGCTTCCAAAATTGGGTTACTTGCGCCCTCTTTTGTAAGCCCCTTTAAGTAAGCCGAATGCGCAATCTTATCGGGGCAGGAGCTGCATACCTACCTACATATATAGAATTCAATTGAATATCAATTCATGCTGTCATGGCAACAAATACAAATAAACAAAACATACAAATTAAGCTACCAATAAAAAAGAAACAAGTATCGTATATCGATATTTCCATCAATAGAGCACTCTGTCATAAATGCCAATTAACATTTTGCAGCTGCAGCTGATAAGACGCGTCACCATCAGCAACAACAGCAACAACAGCCACAACTGCAACAACAACAGCAAACGCGATCCCAACATCCACAGCAGAAATCATTGACTTTGCCATTAGCTGGTCGCAAAACACAAACGGAAGCCGGTGGCGATACTGAGATGCGTTTCAAAATCAACTTATTCTCGCCAAACAAAGTCGGCGATGATTCGGAGGATGCCTCCAACTCGGAGCACAATCGTGTGGGTCAATCTGTATTCTATGATTGCATCGATGCCAGTCCGGCGTGCATTGAAGAGAAACAGGATGCCATGAAACCCGATAAATGCGATACCACAGATGAAGAGGGTAAGATGTCCATTAATCAATTCAAATTCTTGTGCAAATTTCTAAACTTTATCTTTCCCAGTTTCCGAGATCGATCAGGGCTGCACTATCTTTGCTGGTGTGACCTATTTGGGCGCTGCTAATATCAATGTACCCAAATCCGAGGCGGATGTGTATAGCATCATGAACGAACTTAACAGCGGCTCCAAATCGGTGGGCCTCAAGATTACCGTCAGCATTCCCAATTGTTCCGATGGTCTAGTCGTGTAAGTATTGCGATTGAGAGAATAATGTATATCAACATCTATGAGCAAACACGTGCTCTGCAGCAATCAGTATGCCAGTTGCATGCTAAGCCGGATTATACATTATGTCAATGTGACGCATCAAAAGCTGGGCACACTATAACCCAATCTACGTGACTCATAATACAGAGATTGCTTAGGACTTGAAAACAACTGCATCTAAAATTTTGCACAAATTATTCTCTGTTTATGATAAGCAATATAAGAATTTTCGAACATAAAACATTCCAAGGCGATGTGAAATTATCTTTGGAAACTTATATTGAAAATGTAGTGAGTTAATAATTTGATTTTTTATGTATAAAAATAATTAGAATGACCCTTGACCTGTGATTCAATCTGACATCATATTTAAATTAATTACTGCTTTTGTTTATTTTACAGTCTGCACGATGCGGAGAGCAATACGATTATTGCCTCATATGAAATATCGAGCATTATATTGTACTATCGGGGCCCCGTTGATACCAGTGAGAATGGATGCTTTGCGTTCACGTGGCTGCACGGAGATGCGCTGTTCCAATGCCATGTATTCCGTTGCCATATTCCCGAAGCAGTGAATCAAGTGAGCGGTAAGTGTGTGCCTCGATTGTCAACCGCAAACTGAAGCATATTTAAAATTACCTTGCTTGCTGCAGCGTGCTTCCAGAAGGCATTCCAAACGTATGCGCCCAGCATGAGCTGCAGTCTCACTTCAGCTGTTGATATGGCCAATTCGGTGACATCCGACGTAAGCGGCAATCCGCTGAATACCGCTGGCTATGAGTTCATTGTATCGCTGGAGATACGCGAAAAGTTGGCAAACAATACGTATGCGGTTGTGCCACGGGACCGTGGCTGCTTCAAGCTGCGTGCCAATACGGACAAGCGGGTGTGCATTACCGTCAAGCAGACGCCATCAAATGTACTCCAGCCACTGTATATTGAACGCTGCTTTGGCGTACTCGTTGCACCCGGCAAGCTCGTTGTACAGAAGGATATGCATCTCATAGATTTGATCAAAATGGGCTATGTGCCCGCCACCCAGGGCACTGCTGGCATTGAGCCGGATTCAAGCAGCGCCTGTCTTAGTGCGTATGCAATAAGCGCCCAGTGGGAGTCGCAGGAGAAAGCCTTCGAACAACTGAATCAAGAAACGTCCAAAACCAATCTTACTGTTGCCGTCGACATTGTGATTCGCGGCATACAGGAACCTGTGCGCTTCGTCATTGAGACACCTGTGACCATTCAGTCGGAGGGATCATTCAGAGATCACTTCATGTCAAAGAGGCCGATGACATTGCGCTTCTATTTGCATCTGAAGCGCACCGATGAACTCAACTGGAAGGTGAACAGCATTGATCCCTCCGAGGAGATTAACGAGCAGCAAAGCGGACAGCAGGGATCCTCCCTAATTAAACTGGGCATTAATAATCTATCGCGGATTGTGCGCAGCTCGTCCATTGCCTCCATTGAGGATGATTACCCCTCAGACTACAGCAGCGATGGCGATGAGCCGTTGCTCAGCGGTACCGGTGAAGTCTCCAAGGATTGCTCGCAGGACACACTCAATGAATGGGATCCCATTGTGCGCGAATGGGATAGTGAGAAGCGGCCCAAAAACCTCGCCGCCCTAGTGCGTCTAGGTGTGCCAGAGGCGCTGCGCGGAAATATTTGGCAGAAGTTGGCCAATGTGGAGCGCAAGGTTGAAATGAATGACATGTACAAGGTTCTTATTACCAAGGTAAAGAGTAATAAATCTTATCGTTGTGCTTCGCTTGTTAATTATAGTCATGTTTATGGTACAGGAAACCAAATGCGAGACAGTTATTCAGCGTGACATACATCGCACCTTTCCGGCGCACCAATGCTTCAAGGAGACAGGCGGCTCTGGTCAGGATGCTCTCTTCAAAGTATCCAAAGCATATGCCGTCCACGATAGCGAGGTCGGCTATTGCCAGGGCCTCAGTTTCATAGCAGCCAGCCTGCTTTTGCATGTGAGTAAAAGGTTTTGATTTTAAAAGTGAGTTTCTATATAAATTTGCCTTTAATACATATATTTTTCAATAGATGCCCGAGGAGGATGCTTTCTGTGTGCTCGTTTCTCTGATGTACGACTACGGACTGCGTGATCTCTACAAGAGTGGCTTTGAGGTGCTCTACTTGCGCCTCTATCAGCTGGAGCGTCTCATAAAGGATCAGTTGCCACGGCTGCATGAACATTTCACAGCCTGTGGCATTGAGACGCACATGTATGCTTCGCAGTGGTTCCTCACACTCTACACGGCACGTTTTCCGCTCTGCTTCGTATTCCATGTGCTCGACGTATTCCTGCTGGACGGTTTGCCAGTGCTCTTTCAGGTAGCGTTGACATTGCTGTCGATCTGTGAGTCAGATTTGCGTCAACTGGATTTCGAGGGCATACTCAAGTATTTTCGGGTGACTCTGCCCAAGAAGTGCCGCAGTTCCAACAAGGCGCTTAAGGTTATGAAACAGGCGTGTGAGCGCAAAATCAAGAAGCTGAAGCAGTACGAAGAGGAGTTTCTACTCAAGAAACAGCACAAGGAGCGCCTGGATAAGGAGGCGAAAATCTATGAGAGTCGCTTTGGGGAGGAGCGACGCAAACTTCAGTCAGAGATTGACTCGCTCATGCAGCAGCTGACCATTGCCAATGAGCGGGCCGTGGATAAGGAAAAGAAGCACACAGGCATCATACAGGAATACAAACAGATCATTCAGCGGCATGAGCAGGGAATGAACTCGCTCAACGAAACATTGGGCAAGGTTATGGTAAGTTAGTCAAATGAATGTAGTTGTGAATCTTTGATAATCTGTGTTACCCTTGCAGCAAACGGTTTCCAAGTGCTCGCACTGCTTGCAGCAGATCGAAGTGGGCAATGACAATGCCAAGCAGGAGCAGCTGGACACAGCCAAAAGGCATTCGCATCCACTGCGCAATGCGAATAAGATGCCACTGGGTCCATTGGATCCACTCAATATCGCCTCGCAGCGCATACGCGAACTGGAGCTGGAGCTTGCGCAGGCCAAGTTGGCTCAAGTTGAAGCCGAGTGCAAGAATCAGGACTTGAATCATCAGCTCAACAATACACTCAGTGAGCTGCAGTCCAATCGTAACAGCTGGCAGCCGTGGCTTTCCAAGACCTTCAATTCGCTACAGGAGAAGGTGACTACACGTGGCGGAGGTGGCACACATCGCGGTGATCATCCCGTTCCCACATTCCAGTCGTACATGGGCCAGGCACCAGCCACAGTCAGTGAGGCGAGTTCGCCCAGCGCCAATCAGGTAACCTGATCTGATTCCAAACGCGCAGAAAATTGAAATATGACCTGACAAGCGTAGAAGCGTCAAATAGTTTTTTAAGTTTCTCCCAGCATATTATTATCTTTATTATATTAATATGGTTAATACTATTTTTTTAAGTTTTGAAGTTTGAAGTATAATATATTGATTTGTTTCTCATAAGTTTGCAATGGCTTTAAATGAATGTTGTATCAAATACAACAATTTAGCAGCCTGCATTGCCATTATTTTCATATTTCATTTTCCATGCACTATCATCAAACTGTTTAATCATGCCTATTTATTTGCAACACACATATACTATGAAGAATTTATATTTTTATACATATGCATATGTATTCAGTTGATTTATAAACTATCTACATACATTGACCTTAACTGCTGTTTACCTGATTGAGTTTGTTTGTTTATTGATTAGTTGATTTATTCCTGACCATTTATTGCTGCTGCAAATAAAACTTTATATACATAAATGAAATACTTTTCCCCCTTTCTTAGGAGTACAAAACATTTGCATTTGCATCTGTTGGCGGCTCCCCCAAATTGCCGACTAAATTTCAGGCCACCAAGCTGCGGAACAGCATCGATAGTTTGCGTAATATTGTTGTCCCGCTGGAGACGGGCAAATCGCTGCTCGCCGAGAATCTCAAACATCAACTGCAATCGCAGCCATAGATACACATATAGATATCAATATCTATCTATATGTATATGTAGAACGATCTGGCTAGCAGACAGTCCTACGCCTTTGGTATTATGTATCGTATTCGTCTATATTTATATACAGTATATACAAATATAGTCTACACACACACGTATATGTACTTAAATAATATGCATTCCTTGGTTTCTATAATGAACATTTTTTGTTTACTTTTGCACCTAAACGCACCTAGGCTTGTCCAACTGTAAGTTGCCTGTGCATACAGTTTGGCATACACTGCATAAGCCCAAAAGAAAAAACGCTAAAAACTTATACAATAAACATATACATACTATATATATAAAATATCAAAGAATTGCAACAAACTGTGTAAACTTTTATTTAGCTTGGTTAACGTTTATAACTTTTATATATATAATTACAGTACTAGGAAATTGCAGATCACTGGGAAATTATATATTTTCAATCTTTTAGGCGTCTTAAAGCTAATTTTAATTTTGTTCTGAGAACTTTATTATTATTATAATTCTGCTAAATCGCTTTTGAATAAAGAATATCAGCGAAGCCTACAAAAATTTGTCCATAGTAACTACTAAATTGAACATATTTTATATTACAATCATTAATATTATTTGTTTTTTTGTATCTGTATAGAAAATAGTTATTAGAGACAAACAAAATATGAAATCATATTTTACTACGGACTACTTTTTGTGGGATTTTCGTAAATTCGATATTCAAATAGAATTTAAATGATATTCGCAAATTAAAAAAATACCTTTATAAATACGAATTAAGACCAGCTCCTGAACAGCATCACACCAGGCATAATACTATCGTTCCAATAAAATTCCACTCCCCTCATCTCATCGGCACCTCATATAAAAAACAATCGCTGCATTGTTTTCGCCTCCACATCCGAATCCCTCTGCATGCCAGCATAGATCAGCAGATCCGCCGAAGAGCTGCGCTGCCTGAGGCGTCTTCTGCCCCCGCTGCCCACTCGAGAACTACTAAAGGAGCGACTCCTGACGCGATGCCGCTTGGGACGCTGGGAAACAGTGCCAAAGCAGGATACCTGCTGCTCCGCCTCGCTGTCATTGTGCGTCGCAATCAGCTCCTGCTGCGAGAGTGTCATCTCTGATTGCAACGTGCTGTCGGAGCACTCGAGATCATTGGTTGGCGTTTGGCATTCACTTGGCTCAGCTGCGGCGAGTCGAGCACGCTTCCCCACGCTGTAGCTGGAGGGATCTCTGGAGAGTTCGGAGCCAAAGTTGCTGCTGCTGCGCTCATGCGGCAAATTGGTGCCATAACTGAGGAAATCCGGATACGGCAAATGCAGCTCATGGGCACTGAATGCCTCCGGCGAGGAGAAAGTGTGACGCAATCGCTGCACGCGACATCGCTGTCCATGCGGCGAGTGCTGTTGCACCAGCAGCCAGGAACGCTTCAGATACGTATGCTCGGTGCAGTTGCTGATGAGGCTCTGGTTATGCACTGGCGCCGGCGTGCTGCTGACCAGGCTGCCAGATGTGTTGCTGCTGCTCTTGGGCAGTCCTAGAGTGAGTGATATATTGAGTGAATTGTCGCGAAAGGCGTCGGTGCAGTCGTCCGCCGTGCTGCCAGGCGTCTGCGGCTGTGCCGCTCCAGCGGCAGCGGATAGTTCACGCCCAGCGGAAAACGTTGCCGGGCACGCTGAAAGCCCCACGGTGCTGCCGGTGCTGCCATCGCCTGGGAGCGCTGTTGCCTTCCCAGACGCGCTTGCAGCGCCTGCAAATGAGATTCTGTGGGTAAATTAGCAAGTGCAGGGGGTGGGCAGGAGTGAAGGAGATTGGCAAAAGCAACCTTACCACATATGGCAGTGGCCAGCAGCATTCGTTGCGCCGCATCCTGTGAGGTATCCGTGGAGGCCACGGCTCGCGTCATTGCTGCCGCCGAGGTGCTGGGCTGTTCCTGATCCAGGCTACAGCTGCGATGCAGCGGCACCATCGATTGCATGGTGCAGTTGCTCGGCGCACGACTGCAGGTACGATCACGATCCCGTTCCCTTTGCCGCTGACGCTGTCGACGCTGGCGACGCGGTTCGCGCAGCTCCTGCTGCATGCCCACCTTGATGACCTCCTCGTAGTCGGGCGGCGCCTCATAGCTGGGCGGCTCGTCCGGTGTGCGCTCCTCATCCTGCCGGTCCAGCAACTCACTGATCGTCTGCAAGTGACTCTGGAGTTCACGTTGATGGCGCGCCCGGACGCCCATGCGATAGAGTATGACCATCCAGCCGGAGAGGACGCCAAAGATGCCCAGGGTGCTGATGATAAAGATGCCCGTGGCTGTCTTCAGATCCGGATACTGATCGATCTTGGGAAAGTAATAGTTGGGCTTGTGGGAATACCAGCGACGATCGTGATGCAAGTGCGCCCAATCCTCCTCGCAGGAATCGGGTTCATCGCTGCCATCGCCACAATGATCGAAGCCATCACAATGCAGTCTGATGGAGATGCAATGATTGTTCCCACACAGAAACTCCGAACCGATATAGCAATCTGTGAAAGAGATCACCACTCAGCACTCACCTATCCAGGGGATTAAGACAAACTCAAAGTACTCACTCAAATAGTTGAAGACGCTATACACAATGGCCAGTTTGGAGGACATGCCAAATACTCCACGCAGTCGTATATAGTAACCAGTTAGGATGGGCGCAATATGATTCTCCTTGCTGAGACCGTTATGCGGCCACATCACATTCTCAATCTCCGATGACTCCGAGGTGGTGCCCTGCCTAATTGTCAGCTCCGAACGGGCTGCCATTCCATAAAAGTCATCCACACGCAGCGAGATGTGCGTCTTCATCATCATATAGTTATTACCCGGCTTAATAATCCAGATGCAGTCAAACAGTCGCACATCTGTGGCATTCTCAATCATGTTCATCATGGTGATGGCACCACCAGGTCCAGTCACCATGCCGCCGCAGTCTGCAAAGGGAATAGGATAGAAACCTCGTAAACAAATATGAAATTATTTCTACTCATTACCTATTTTTCTTACTTTTAATTGTATATAAGTCTTTTCAAAATATAATTCCTTACTTTAAACTACCCTTAAAGTTATGCCTTGTCAAACAAGAAACTTTCCCCATCTAATATTATTAATATTTATAAACAAATCTCAGTTCCCGGTGCTCTGCTTTAGTTATATATTCAGATTATTAGCCGCTCTTATGGCATCTGGCTATGTAAGTCCCACTTATCACCTGGCTCAACAATATCGATTGCGTTACCAAACTAGACCATGCCAACAAAAAGTCGCCTGTTTCTCACTTATGTTTTTACTTTGGTGTTTGTCGTGACATTGAAATTTATACAACGACCAACCCCACACCCACCACCCCCACAGTTTGAGCCCGTCAATCAATATGACAATTGCAGACCCTCAAGTGACCCACCCCCACTTACCCGTGTAGGGTACTCGTTCGTCCTTTAGCTGCTTGGAGGAGACAAAGCTAACCTCGGCGCGAAAGCCAACACCCGAAACGGAATTGCCGCGGAACTGCAGCAACAGCGATTTACCACTGCTTACAGTTATGGGCGGACGAAAGTGTTCCCCCGTGTAGGAGTCGAGCATCTGGCCATTCGAGTCGAAGATCTCCAGCGTTGAGGCCAGACCCAGCTGAAAATCTGTGAAGTCCAGCCGCACCTGACAATTGTCCGCCTCGCAGGTGAGTATGTGCTCGATGGCATAATCCCTTGGATAGGCCATGGGAAAATAGGGCGTCGATATAATCTGTGGCATGTACTTAACATTGACACTGCCACTGCCACTGCCCACAATGGACTGCTTTGGTGAACCGCTGACAATTTTGACATTGCCTGTGGATAGAATTTGATATTAATTTGAACATGGAATTATATTGAGTTGTTAAATTTTGAGTTCTTTAATTTCTTTATTCATCTTACGCTCCGAGAAGTACTGCAGCGAGAAGACATGTGCATTGGTGGCCCTGTAGAAGAATTTAAGCTGTAAGGTTCTTGTCTTGCTGCGAAAGACTTTGCCATCGCCACAGAACTCCTGACCCGATATGGTCGTATCGTACGGCGGCTCCGAGAACTGTATGTGCTCGCAGGGACACATGTTGGACTTGCCGCCCGTGTTGCTGCAACTCTTCGAGAAGTTGGCGTGCGTGAAGGTCACACGGATGACGCATTCGGCACAGGTGACCAGCTCCAGATTGCACTGATACCACGCATCCCCGGCGGCCAGTTCGTTCTTGAGCAACAATGGCGAACTCTGCGTAGCATTGGCATTATAAGGAAAAGGGAAATAGGAAATCCTTGTGGATGCACTCACTCGATATGCTGTGGTGCTGACATTCCGAGCATGCAGCTCGCCACGTTCGCCCAGCTCCAGAAAGTGTCGCCTGCCATTCCAGTGATTGCAAATGTCCAGATCCCGATAGCTATTCGCTGGATATGCCTCGCCAGGCCAACTGATTAGCGCCAGCACATAGGCCACAAAGTAGCCATAGCCCACCGCTTTGGCCAACATTGCACGTTGCTCCCGACCTGTCTGTCCGACTGTCCGTCTTAATTGTTGGACGGATGCGTTGTCCACGAGTGTTGACTCAAGACTGCCACAAATCCAATAAGCTGTGCAGCTCAAGAGCTCGTTGCAGAAGCCGCACAAGTGACCCATTTACATTTACATACTATATAACAAAATCGACGAGCAACGTTTTCTGGGTGGGCGTCAGGTTAAAGACCTCGTTTAGACCAATAAACTAGTCTCACGGAAATTAAAATTCCAAAAAAAAATGTATAAAAATAATTAAAATCCTCAATTAAGACGCATTCCCATATTAACTTGTAACCTGCAAGTTGCACAGAATAAATTGAATCCAAATGAAATTTTGGCGGTACAAAAATATGTTTATTTAAAAAAATTTCTGTTTAAAATTTGACGAGGGATTGGGGGGTGGTAAACACATTTCAAGACGCTGTGATGAATGGGGTCTCGCAGAGACAATGAACATGGAAACGAATAGAAACGAACCAAAAGAGTATGAGCTTCTTTCAGATGTACACGATGCACACACGTCACATTTACACATATACATATATATAAAGGACAAGACAAATCGGGTACTTAAATATGCGAGGACCTGGCGAGAGCGGTTTGCAGGTTCTTGGCCAGTGTGTCCATGAACTCGAAGGTCTCCTGATAGTCCTTGCGCTCGACGGCAGCCATGCTGCCCTTGATGCAAATGGCCAGATCCTTGGTCATGGCACCACCCTCGATGGTATCGATGCACACCTGTTCGAGCGTCTCGGCGAACTGCTTCAGAGGCTCATTGTTGTCCAGCTTGGCGCGATGGAGCAGACCGCGGGTCCAGGCAAAGATCGAGGCAATCGGATTGGTCGACGTCTCCTTGCCCAGCTGATATTGACGATAGTGACGCGTCACAGTGCCGTGAGCAGCCTCAGCCTCAACGGTCTTGCCATCGGGGCAAAGGAGCACGGAGGTCATCAGGCCCAATGAGCCGTATCCCTGGGCAACGGAATCAGATTGCACATCGCCATCGTAGTTCTTGCAGGCCCAGACAAAGCCACCCTCGGATTTCATGCAATAGGCGACCATATCATCGATCAGACGATGCTCATACCAAATGCCAGCGGCCTCATACTGCTTCTTGTACTCCTTGCCGTAGATATCCTCAAAGATGTCCTTGAAGCGACCATCGTAACGCTTGAGAATCGTATTCTTGGTGCTCATGTACAGGGGCATCTTACGCTCCAGAGCATACTTGAAGGATGCGTGGGCAAAGTCCACAATGGAATCATCCGTGTTGTACATGCCGAGGGCGATACCGGGACCCTTGAAGTCATTGATCACCTCCTCGATGACCTCACCATTGTTGCCCTTCCAGGTGAGCGTCAGCTTGCCGGGACCGGGTACCACATAATCGACAGCCTTGTATTGATCGGCATTGGCGTGACGTCCAATGACGATCGGTTTCTCCCAGCCGGTCACAAGCCGGGGCACATTCTTGCAAATGATTGCCTCACGGAAGACGGTGCCGCCGAGTATGTTGCGAATGGTGCCGTTCGGTGACTTCCACATCTTCTTCAGCTTGAACTCCTCCACACGCTTCTCATCGGGTGTAATCGTGGCACACTTGATGCCCACACTGTACTTCTTAATAGCCTCGGAACAGTCGATGGTCACCTGGTCCTCGGTCTTGTCGCGATGCTCGATACCCAGATCGAATGTGTGCAGCTCGATGTCCAGGAAGGGCAAGATCAACTTATCCTTGATCGATTGCCAGATGATGCGAGTCATCTCATCTCCGAGCACATCGACAACGGGTCCAGCGCGTATCTTTTGGGCCATCTGTGCGGGAGAGCAAACCACAAGTGGACGCTGAGTGTTAGAACAGTGTTATATATACACATATATGGTGGTATAATGATTAAATGTAGACGTCACCTCATTGATTGAATTCATTTTGTTAATATTATTTACTATCTTTGCCTGGAAACACAATAATTTTCAAATGACTGAAACAAAGCTCATAGCAGCAGAGCTGAAAGTGAACTTTGTTCCGATTAATGTAAAAACATGAATAACTAACTAAGCTACTCTGTTTCGACTTTTCCTAGCTGCTAATCTTTATACGACTTTTCCTAGCTGCTAATCTTTATACGCTTGAGATGTTAGTAAGCAAATTTCATGAATGAAACTGAAACAATAAAAGTAAAACAAAAGAACATTAATTAAGCGAAAGCTGAACTAAAATTGCCAATATACCCCTCTGACCGTTTGCAAGCAGAGTATTAAGGAAAACAACATACCGCTGCACAAACACCGAAATTTGATTTGAACGGGGCGCGCAGAAACAAAGTCTGTGGCTGGCTGGCCATTTTGAGGGTGCGGCGTAGGGCAAACATTTTCCAATTGTCACTTGAATGATGAAGAATGGATGTTGCTCACATTCGCTGCCCAGCACAAACCGACACTCTGAAGGAACCGTAGAAAAACAAACGTGTTGTGCACGATGCGCTTGTCGCTGCGTAACTGATAACAGTTAATTGCGAACACCGTTACTCAGCTATTAATCTTGAGTGTACTGGTTACAAATCCGTTGCGCAATCGCTGTTATCACATTTTTTATACAATAGAATTTAGTCGCGTTATCAGAAAAGATTTAATGTATGTGCTTTAATTCGCCCTCTCTCTGTCAATTTGGTTTGCAACGAGTGCAACTCACTAATAACACTTATTGTAAAACATAGAACAGAGAACAGAGAAAAACAAGTATGCCTCAAGCTTATAATCGTTATCGCATTTGCCGGCCGCACAGCAAAGTGAATGTCAATCAACTTTTTATTACACTATATCTCTCTATCTCTATCTCTATCTCACTCTCACTAGGTTGGCTTCTGAACTTTTTCATTTTTCTCTTTCGCTTGTTAAAGTGATTTTTTTATGACAAGTTCATGGCCACACTTATTTAAAGCAAAGTTGATGGCAGGGACGATCAGTATCGATAACGATAGCTGACACTTTGACATTGGGAGCGGTGCTGCATAATTTTGAATTTTGAATCTGCCGCCAAATGGTCTAGACAATTTGACAATGATTGAGATGAATACTTATCAGCTAATTGAAATATTGCATAACTTTTAGCATCCAGCTAGCTTATATAAAAGAAACGTGCTAATTGATAATGAGCTAGCTTTCTATATTTGTCGACTTTCAAAATAGTTTAACCATTTGTTAACATGAATCTTCGCTATAGTCTAATAAGCCTGATACCTGAATTCAATATTTGCAAATCAGCTCATCTGCATGCAAAGTGGCGTGATTTCGGTTATTAAAAATCACGCCATAACCATTTGGAGATGCGCCGACAAATTGTAGAGAACAAAACTGCCCAACAAAGTCTGTCTGCGCTTTCACCGAATGTATTTTTTTCTAACAATAGCTTAAGTTGAGTTTATATACATTTTGTACACTATCAGCAAGAAAAAGAGATATTCACGTTTACTGATAAGATTTGGCATTTGTCGTACGTGCTAATATTACAATGAAATCGACGACCATTCAGAATTTCTCGAACAATCTAATGTGCAATTAAATAATGACAATGCATATGTTAAAGTCAAGCCTAAACTTTGAACGCAACCGAATAAACAATTTGAGGCACAGGTTGCTAAGCCTATACAAGTGGGGACGTGTAAATTATTCTCTCTCTCCCTATTTATCTACTCTCATTCTTTCGCTCTGTCTTTCTCTCATCATCTCTGATTTACCGGCCATACAAAAACCGGCTGTGAAGAAAAAAACAAAATAAACAACCAGATAAATTGCAATGTATGAATATGTATGAGTGTGTTAGCATAGACACATGCTATGTAGACACACACACACACACAACGTACAAAAACAAACATGAGTTGTAGACTTTGCTGCATGTGTATTTGTATGCTGGCGAAAGTTCAACTCAAAAACGAACAAAAAAAGTGTAGGCAACAAAAAATAAATGGAATTCTAGAGGTTATTCAAAGCTTAAACAAACGCGAATTATTCATTTAAGTACACCTCCCAATTTGAATTGAAAGCTACTTATACAGAAATACATATATATATATATGTATATATATATATTTCAATTTGCAATTCTTGCAATTCAGCATTAAAAGTGTGTTGAGATATTATTATCTTAAGCGATATTATCTATGATTGACATCCTAATTGGCATTAAATATACAGCTTTTATATAATTATTCAATGCGCTCACCTTTTTAGAAGTTTAAATTCAATTGCCGGTTGTTAAAGCGAACACTCGATTTCTTTTTTGATTTTCTGTAGACGGCAAGATGGCGAACCACTCCCAATCAGACACTGCGTAGAACTGATTTGAAACGAAAACAATGGAGGGAAGAAATGGTCTGACTGTGTGCGCGTGTATAAAGATAAGCCGCTAGATAAATACAAGTTCGGCGAGCAGCTGTTTGGTGCTGCTCGAAAGCTTTAACAATATGCCAGCTCTGCGCGCCATAAGCTTTTGGTGTGGAGCTGTGCCGTTGAGTCTTGCAGCAGTCAGCTTTTAGTGTGCAGTCCAAGCAAATTGCCAAAACCTTATTTTTGTTTTGAATTCAAGTTTTTGACGGTTAAATAAGTGAGGCTTGAATAGGTTCGTAGGGATTTTGATCTTTGAAATGTGTGTTAAGAAATTAAAGTTAACGTATATAAGTTAAAATAGATTTCTCATATAAGATCAAAGGTCTTATAAGATGAAAGATTTAGATAGTGCAGCTTAAGAGCCTCGTGCAGACACTCTTTTAGAAAAATTGGACTTTTTACGAACTTTTTATATTGATTTGTCAAAATTTACTCTTAAAAGTGAAATGTGAAATAAAAAGGAACCAAAAATTAATACGCAAATAAAAATGAATACATTGTTTGAAGTCAAAAGAGTTTTTTATTGCATTTTTAATGTGCGAAAGTGAAGATTCATGTCTGTAGTTAAGGCGCATAAAAAACCTCATAAACATAATACAAATGTGTTAAAGAGTATTTGCATACATTATGCTATTTATGCTATCAAAATCAAATAAATTCTGCAATGCGGTATATTCTTTTCATAAATAAACACACATATGCTAATGCATATTATTAGCATATGCCATCGATTATTATCGGACGACAAAGGAAATAAGCAACAACAACAAAATATAACACAATAAAGTATGGCCGAACTTGTCTAATTGGTAGCACAGCATGTGCCGCTTTCTTTTGTAAAATTAGATAATTGCTAAACGAAAAAGAAAGAAAAAAACAACTTGTTATATAATCTAATTATAACCAGCTTTAATCGAGCCACAAACCACTGCATTAAATAACAATTTAAAATAAGAAATTCAAGTTATTGTACTTTACGCGCGTGCCGGCGAAACTCTTTTTTTTTTGGTTTTTTTTTACCAAGAGTGACAATTTGACAAGCGTGGAGCAGCTTGAACAAGTTGCCTCCATTAGCCATGCCAATGAACGTGAAACGAGTGTGTGGCAGTAGTTGTAAAGTACACATGCATCTAAAAACCCATAAAAATGCGTGCCATGTTTCTACAAGCATTTCTTTAATGCTATTTGTTAATTTGATTGTTATGTAAAAAAAAAAAATCGACGAACAGAAGCGACTCTGGGCCAAAACTAAACTAATTTCAATTTCAGCTCAGCGACACTCGAAAGAAAAGTAAAAGCCGAAGCAGGTATGCTAAAATATACTACAATTGGCTAAAAATAGTTTTGGCTTTTAGTTTTTTTCGAAGCCTTTTGAAAGTGAAGAAGCTACAGTCTGGAAAACCATTTGCATAAATAACCAAAAACCGAGAAGAAAAAAAATACACAAAAATAACCAAAAATGCACGTAAAATGTTGAGCATCGTTTTTGTTTATTTTATTTATACATTTTGTGTTTTATGTTTTGTCTGCCACACAAGCCGACTTTGACTTTGACTTTTCACTTGTTACACATACGACCCGTGGAGCGCTGCGAATTCAACATAATGACTTATTTTTCACGTCTTTTTGAAGTGTATATAAATGGGTTTCTTAGTACTTCTTCACCTTTTTTTTTTGAAGTGACTGCTGCACGCCTGCAATAATAAATTACTTCCTGGGCCACATTCCGCAGAAGCAGCAGCAGCAGCAACAGCAGCAGCAGCAGCCGACATTACAATTCTCGAAGACGTGCAGCGGCTAAGCATCAAAAATATTACTATTAATTATATTGAATGGAGAAAGTCAATTTCGTCAAAGTGCCCGGCGTCAGTGGCTTTTGTGCGCCATTTCTAAAGACGCAGCTGTCAGTCAGTCTGTCAGTCAGTTCGTCATTTAGTTACACAGTCAGTCAATCAGTCAGTCAGTCAGTCAGTTAGTCGGTTAGCCAGCCAGTTTCCATTTCAACTGCTTTCAATGCAGCTTATCTTTGTGGAGCGTCGTCGTCCCATTCTTTTCGAGGCGACTTTTTAAGATCGCTGCCTGCCGCAGAGCACTCTCCGGTTACACTTGATATTTTAATCGTATTGCTGATCATGTGGCATGTGCGGCACATATTTATTTTCTCATTTTTCCCATTTCACCAAGTCCGTCAGCATGCAAATGAAGTGCGTCAGCGCAAAATACCTTGTAGAAAATAATAAAGTCTCTATAGATACTTTATTGAACTCAACGAATGACTAATTTTATTTATTTTTAAATAATTAAATAAATTATCTTTGAATCTTTAATTGATTCTAAATTTGAACAGCCTAGCTTATAAAATATAAGTTTTGCTTTTTTTTTGCATTCAGATCAACTTTATTTACTATTCACAAACAGATTTACTGTCTAATTTCGAATATTCTGTTTTTCAAAAAATCTCGTGTGGTTGCTTATAAAGTATCTAATAGTCGCCTAGAGCACTGCCACCTAGATACTTTTGTGTGGGCCTTAAGCTATTTATTAAGCGCTTGTTTCGATCAACAAAAAAACACAAAATTCGATTTGATTATGTTTACAGTTATGTCGTCTGTTTAGTTTATGTCTATGCAAATTTATGTAAAGCTCAGCGACAGATATGTGTGTGTTGTTTTTTTGTTTTGGGATGTGGGTTAGGGGCTACCGATTCATCCAATTGATTGGGTTTTAATTTGTTGATTTGTTCACATTGTGTTTAGCTTTGAACTGTTGAGCTCCGCTGCAGGTCCAGCCGCAAATCAAAAAGCAAACAGTGAAAGGCGTTGCCAATATATATTTATTTATATTATATATATATATATATATATATATATATATACATTTATGCGTCGCGTAAGGAAACCTTGCCAATAACTAGCTGCCAATGGCTTTCCAAAAAAAAAATAACTCAGCTAACAGCCGCACATGCAAAAACGAAAGCCAAGCCAAGAGTAAAAGAAACAACAACAACAACAAAAACATTTGCGTTCGTTTTTACTAATGAAGTGCAGCAGCAGCAGCAACAGCAACAGCAGTCGCAGTCGCCATAATTGTTGCCAACTGACTTTGTTGCATACCAAATGTCTACTGGGTCAATGTATCGTTGTTGGCCCAAACCCCAGCCCCAGCCACAGACCCAGTCCCAGTCCCAGCTGTAGACCAAGCCCCATCCAATGCACGCATCCAAGCCAACTCTACAGCCTCATGTGAAAATCATTAATGCGCTCGCAGTTCACCAAATTGCTTGGCCATGTTTGCTGGCGGCTTTCACATGCTGCGAACCTTTGTACAACAGGTAGGCAGCCAAGCAGCCAACTAGCCAGCCAACTGGCCAAGCTGGCAACCAGCTTGGCTACCAGGCAGGCCTCTATTGTTGTGTCAGCTAAATATGGCCAATAGCCAAATATTAATTCC